CTAATATTCGGCATTCCCTCCAATCTGCCCAGGCAGCCCAGATCATCCCGCCACTTAACCCGAATTTTCGGGCATAAGCCGTAGATCTAACCGGTTCTGACTCGGGAGTGGCAAATGCCGGGACCAAGCACTTGTAGGGCCTTGGGTCCAGCCCCTACTTATGTACAGATTATGAATCCAGATCATACGTGGTATATTGTGGTCTGTGAGTGGTTGGAGCTGTTGACCGCCCTCGGAGCCATGTCACATTCGTTATAGCTTCATCGCAGATCTCTTGCTGGGATCCAATCAGAGCCAGGATGATAGATGAGTTTTGGACACATCATTTCAGCTTCGAGATTATCCTGGAGCTAACAACGACCTAACAACGGGGTCCACGGGTGGCTCAATTTCTCCACTCTTGGCAATTACCTAATCAGGTTATGGTTAAATGAGCCTCCGAAGCTTATCTGTGGTCAACAATATCTCCATGTCCGAGCCCCTGCGTATGTTGTATCCCTTATGTTGTAGTTTTTCTCCAGTTTCTCTTTCATTGGTTATGATAGAAGAAGATTGTGACTCTCATACATACATGGTTTCGCGTTTATACCCACACTCGCATGCCACATCCACTTTTTCGGTGAGGTAGAGCGATGTTCTCGGCCGATGCTTGTTGAATAGAATTGTGTCGTTCTCGGCCGAGACCAGTTGCAATCAAGCTTTCACGGCCAGTAATCACGAAGGTGCACAATTAATCCCGTCTCCGCATTTTACTAGACTCCAATGCATACCCCACAAACCCTCTATACCGAAAAGTTTCACCTGCTCTGCCGCACTGTCTAGGTTTTACCTATTCACCTGGGGTAATGGTTCACCCCACATTTATGCTTAGATCATTTCCCCGGGGACTCCCACAATGTACAATCCCGTAGGCACTATTTATATGCGATCTTCCCTCCTTCCAATTGTTATGTTCCATCTAATATCCTGTGCTCCTTTCGCGTTGTGAATCCCACTATTTATACAATATCATATCGACACGTTTTGTACAAAAACACCAGCTCAATTACTTTTAACAAGAAGCAGCAATTATGACTGCTCTTTCGAATTCCAACAACCCCAAGGAATCCAGCAGTGAGGCCACGACCAACGTCGAACTGGACGACCTTCAACCGTCCCACCTCGAGCACTATGGCCCACTAGCACATGTGAACACTGTGGAGTCGCGACTACCTGCCTTTGCGGGTGAATTACAACCGGGTCTCTATCGGACGCCCAAGCTTCGGAAGTTTGCAAATCCTGCACCTCTGGGTCTCTCGGGGTTTGCCTTGAGCACCTTTGTACTTGGGTGTATCAATATGGGCACCCGGGACATCACAGAGCCTAATATGGTTGTTGGTGTTGCTTACGCTTATGGGGGGCTAGTGCAGCTTCTCGCGGGCATGTGGTAAGTATTTTCGTATTGAATACCCCTTATGAGATGATCTGAATCTGACCTATTTCTTTGCCTGGTAGGGAAATGGCTGCTGGAAACACATTTGGTGCTACAGCTCTGTCTTCATACGGTGGTTTTTGGATCGCCCTCGGTATCACCTTTACCCCTGGGTTCCAAATCATGTCAGAGCTTCAGAAAGCTGACAGTAGTGGGTCAACTGACATGTTCTACGACTCGTATGGGTTGTTTCTTATGGTAAGTTGGCTTTCCCATGTAACTCACCCTTATTATCATAATTTATGCCTAACAACTCCTAGGGCTGGTTCGCCTTCACGTTTCTTCTCCTCACGTGCACTGTCAAATCGACTGCAGTGTTCTTTTCCCTTTTCCTATCTGTAGATGTTGCTTTCTTGTTGCTTGGGATTGGACACCTTCATCGGGATTCCCACGGAATGCCTAATCCGCCAATCCTCAAAGCTGGAGGTTTATTTGCTCTCATTGCTGCCTTTTTGGCGTGGTATTCCGCCCTGGCAGGTATTGCAGACAACAGCAACAGCTTTTTCATCATTCCTGTCTTCCACTTCCCGTGGTCCGAGAAAGGCAGGGCTTCCAGACGCGAGGCTTCTGCTGCTGTTTAGTGCTTGTCACTGTGGAGCCTGGAGGTTTTAGTTACAGTCAAAGATAGCTTGACAACATCAAAAGCTTATATTATTATGATGATGAAATTTGCCGAAGCCAAATTGAAAATTTCCTTGAGATTCAACTTACAACTGCATGTGGATGAGGTTAGCAGGGTGTATTTTATATCTGGGAAGATACAGGGTTGACAAATCCACCGTAGCCATCAGTAGGAACAAGAAAGACTTCGGAGTATCTCTGTCGCTCCCCGGATCATGGCGGAGGATGCTTCGTCGAAATCTAGTGGCCATCAAAATGTCATTCAATGACGTATCTCGGCCGAATATGCGTTCACATTAAGCACCGAGCTTGCTGAGGAGCCTCTATGAACCCACCAATTAGAACCAATTTCGAGGAGCCCCATTATCTGAAGTACTACAGCCCTGTAAGTTATAAAAGCGGCTTCTCTTTCCTTGCTTCCTTCAAATTAATTTACTGTTTGTGCCAATTTTCTTTCCGATTCCATTCAATTTTCTACTTCATCAACTATGACGTCTCCACAGGACATCGAATCGGATAAGCCGATTCCCAAACTCACCCCATTTACATACGAAAATGACGTGTACCAGGCCGGTCGCAAAGGCCAGAAGCCCGCAATAACCTTCAACTGCCACGATTGGGAAACCCTAGCCAAAGATCGGCTCTCGGCAGATTCTTTTGGATATGTCTGGGGATCCGCTGGAACTCGTGATACGGACGACAACAACAAGAAAGCCTTCAAGAAATGGGGGATCGTACCTTCGCGCCTGGTCAAAAGCGACTTCCCAGACCTCAGAACGAAGATCTTTGGCGAGACGTACGACTATCCGATCGCCATGGCACCGGTGGGCGTGCAGCGGATTTTCCACCCGGACGGGGAGACGGCATCGGCAAAAGCTGCCGAGAAGGAAAATGTCCCCTACATCCTCAGCACAGCATCCTCCACGAGCATCGAGGATGTCGCCAAGGCCAATGGCAATGGGTCCCGTTGGTATCAACTCTACTGGCCTGTGAATGAGAACAATGATATCACAGTAAGCCTGTTGTCACGAGCGAAGGCAGCGGGTTACAAGGTGTTGGTGGTCACCTTGGACACGTATATTCTTGGGTGGCGTCCCAGCGATCTGAACAATGCATACAACCCTTTCATTCGACCTGACGACATCGGTGTAGCACTGGGATTTACCGACCCTGTATACCGCCGCAAGTTTGAAGAAGAGCATGGGAAACCCATTGAGGAGGACCTCGAAACTGCCGCCACAGAGTGGGCGCATACAGTCTTCCCCGGTGTGAGTCACGGCTGGGAAGATATCAAATTCCTCCAGGAGCATTGGGATGGTCCGATTGTTCTGAAAGGAATTCAGACGGTGGCGGACGCGAAGAGAGCTGTTGATTATGGCGTCCAGGGAATTGTTGTCTCCAACCATGGTGGACGACAACAGGATGGAGGTATTGCATCTTTGGATATTTTGCCGGAGATTGCGGACGCAGTGGGAGATGATTTGGAAATTATCTTTGACTCGGGTGTTCGCTGCGGTGCTGATATTGCAAAGGCCTTAGCGCTTGGTGCGAAAATGGTCCTGATTGGTCGTCCATACGTTTATGGATTGGCCATTCAAGGTGAGGGCGGAGTACGCCATGTGCTGAAGAGCCTTCTCGGAGATTTCAATCTTACCCTCCACCTGTCGGGGATCATTTCAGTATCTCCTGAGCATCTCAATCGATTGGTCTTGCGTCGGACAGATCAATAGAACTTTTAACAGCTAGATGATATGTTAAACTCCTGTTTTATAGTTTGAATATATTGAATCTATTCTTTGTATCTTTATATTGATGCTCGATCCGAGCTTACATCGTCGATATTATCGACATCGTCATATATCATTTACGTTACTCCCTATATACCCTTGGAATTGACCTAGAATCCAGAAGTACAAGATATACGGAGACCCTTATTTATGATGGTCAATTCGGAATTCTAGTGGAATTGGCTTTCCTTCCCAGGTGGGTTTCAGCTGCTGGCCGAGATGCCTAATACGGAAAGTGGTGGCAGCACTACTAAATATATTGATGCTTGTCAGCATATGGTGTAGCAGTCCATTCAACTTCGATTACCTGAACTTCAGCGTACGGCAAGGCAGATTTTTAAATGCTTCTTCAAGATCTTTGGGGAAAACTGCAGATGTATATCTAAGAACCGTCACCTGCGATCCTCTCAAAAATATCTGTAATTCTGCGAATCACAGCCACATGGCGTGCGATTGAGTGACTAAACTGGATCTAGGTAATAATTTTATAGGTGATTCCGAGAGTGAGGTCTTTTTCTTTACTGGCTAAATGCCGAAATCGATCTCATATCAGGCTTCTTGTAACGGGAACGCCGAAGATCCACCCAAGCGTAACCGGGGCCCCCCATAAACACCGCAGATCCCAAAATGCGGAGGTTTCAACACCAGACCCCAAACTCACTAACCTTGGAATATATCTCATATTACCCGTGGATGTGACCTTACATGATTAATATCTCATATTAATTCTTCAATTATGTAATATATAGAATCATGAGGACTCGCCGGGTGGACAATGGGCAACCCATAAGTACCCAAAAATGGAATATGGTAAGGTATATAAACACCGTAACGGGGTACGATCAGACAGTCCTCATCCTTCATTGACCGCCGATCATCTGCAATTGCCAATTTGAGACACCAATATAAATCGATATACAGAACTTCATATCATTAACCCAGAGTGTCCATTGCTAGTTCCACTGGGTTTGGGAATGGAAAGTCTGACGAGGCAGAGATGTGATGTTGGCCCTGAAATGTTATTGTCATGTAGCCTTTATTTATTCTATTGACCCTGTTCCTGGCGAAAGAACTGTCTCATCTCAATTTCCATTTCCTATCTTTTGTTTCCATTAATGCCAATGACATTTGCGAAAATGGACACAGGCTCAAACAAGCCTATCAAGAAGGTCGGAGATGTTCAACATGACGAGGACCCGGTCTACGAAGATGAAAAAGCATGTCGACAAGCTCAAATTCGGGAAACCACTCGATGTGAGCGCGAGATGCCCATCTCAACTGCGTTCCGACTGTATTCAAAAGCCGTTGGTTGGTCCATCCTGCTGTCCACGGCAGTGGTTATGGAAGGCTATGACCTGCTTCTCATCACCTCTTTCTTTGCACTAGATCCGTGGAAGAAGAAATATGGAGTTCTCCTGGGTGATGGCACGTACTCCGTTTCCGCGGCTTGGCAGTCAGGACTCTACAATGGTGCTGCCGCAGGCGAAATCATCGGTCTCTTCCTCAATGGCTTCATTGCCGAGAGGTTTGGCTATCGCAAAACAATGCTTGGGGCACTGGCGTTGATCACTGGTCTCATTTTCATCCAGTTCTTTGCGCCGACGGTGGAAGTCCTCCAGGTTGGCAGCGTTTTGATGGGAATTCCATGGGGTGTTTTCCAAACACTGCCGGTATCATATGCTTCCGAGGTGTGCCCTGTCGCTCTCCGTGGCTTGCTTACGACCTACATCAATATATGCTGGGTTATGGGCCAGCTGTTAGCCTCGGGCGTCCTGAGAGCCATGCTGGGAAGGGACGATCAATGGGCCTACCGTATCCCATACGCATTGCAATGGATGTGGCCAGTTCCCCTTATCATTGGCATCACCTTTGCGCCCGATTCGCCGTGGTGGTATGTCCGACGCGGTGACAAAGAAGCGGCTAAATCTGCCCTCCGGTCATTGACGTGCCGAAATGTGGACGACGCCGTCGACATTGACGCTACTGTGGAGGTCATGGCTTATACGAACGAGCTTGAACAAGAAGCAAGCCAGGGTGCGACATATGTGGACTGCTTCAGGGGCTACAACCTACGACGAACCGAAATCGCTTGCCTTACTTGGGGTATTCAAAATATCTGCGGTACAGCTTTGATGAACAATTCTACGTATTTCTTCCAGCAGGCTGGGATGGATACTGCCAATGCTTTCAACCTGACTATGGCACAGTACGGCATCGGTTTCATCGGGGTTTTCCTCGCCTGGACACTCATGATTCGTGTCGGCCGTCGCCAATTGTACCTTTGGGGTTTGTTTACTCTCTTGTTGCTGCTTCTCGGTATTGGAATCTCAGGCGTTGGCGGCCCAGGCAACAGTTCCGCTTATTGGGCCTCGGGTGCACTACTCTTGGTACTCTCCTTGTGCTACCAGGTTACTGTCGGAACAGTATGTTACTCCATCGTCTCGGAAGTTTCTTCTGTTCGACTTCGCGCCAAAAGTATAAGCTTGGCTCGGAACCTTTATAACGTCTGCTCCATTGTCAGCGGAATCATGGCCCCGTATATGATTAACCCAACTGCCTGGAATTGGAAAGCCAAGGCTGGTTTCTTTTGGGCCGGCTCTTGTCTTCTTTGTTTTGTTTGGACATTTTTTCGTTTGCCTGAAACCAAAGGACGGACTTTTGCGGAGCTTGATATCCTTTTCGAACGAGGAGTAAATGCCAGGAAATTTGCGAATACCTCAGTTGATCTTTTCTCTCATGCGATTCATGAGGAAGAGAAAGAGGGGGAGGTCCACAGAAGCTAGACGACAATTCACCTCTAGCAAACACCAAGGGCCAACAGAGGCCAAATATTGCCTCCTTTATTTGCTAAAGAGTGTCTCTATACAACGTCTTGTATATTATTGCCGATGGGATACGTATTCACTTCTACATTCTTGTGAAGCATGCATACTATAGCATGCTCACCCGTCGGTTGGCGATGGCGACAATAGTCAAACCTCTTTCTTGTACAGTTGGCATAATTTTTGACATAAAATTGCTACCCTGGCGTGACTGGTCGCATTGTTCGGTACAGTAAGCCAGGTTTTCTAGAATCTAGCCATGGCGTACACATTAATTAGACAATTCCTCGTGGCAGTGACTCGTAACATATAGAAAAAAAGGGGGAAAAAAAAAAGAAACTCAAGCGACACCTGTGTGATTCGAACACACGCTCCCGAGGGAAATGCCTAGGCTTACACTTTCGTGCATAGCAGGGCATCGCGTTAACCACTCCGCCAAAGTGCCTTGTTGATAAGTTTCTTTTGATTAACCTGGCCATTGAGCATTGAACAATATCCCAGGAGCCCATATTTTTCTTATAGGCGCCCACGGCCCTTCCTTCCCTCCTATGTTGTATGTAGTGAGAATTCTGTCAATGTAAATCCCGCTGATCAGTTTGCGCTAGTAATAAAATTTTATTTAAACAACAGAATACGATAAATTGCTTACTTAGGAAGACCTGATCTTGATGATATTTGTCATGTAAATTCGAGTTTTTTTTTTATAAGCGCATATTGACTAGTATATAAAGCCTGCCATCGAGTCAGCCATAGTGCCAAGAATTAATTGTAAACTGTCTGACCTCTTAATGCCTGGCAAGAAGGATATGGGCTTCCTCCCCGTACATATAAATAAGGAATCCCTCATGTGTTGAATATAGGTTGGTAATGGAACCATAAAGAAATAGAGAGAGGACATCGGATTCCGCCGGTATGCAGTTTGAACGCAGTCTGAATTGACCATCTTTCGTACACCTTGATGCAAATTGTATGTAGGAATGGGTGACGAAGGTGTCGACTGCATTCAAGCCGCTAAGCTCGATTCTGTAGGAGTTTAAGATTCTTGCCTAGGTGGCATGGAAGAATGACAAATGAGCATGGAAACCATCCATCCTAAATCATGTTGATTAACTGGGATCTTCAACACTGTTTCATATGTAGTATGCAGGTGCATCATTAGCTCGGGGTTGGCAGAGCCACATTGACATAATCCTACATAACTAACTAACTAACTAGTTAGTTAGTTAACGTATTTCACTACCGAGTGGTCCACCCAAATCACCCGATCAATTTTAAAGGCATTTATCTCAACACAAACGCCATTAAATTAACTCAACTAATTAATCGGTCTATCTGGACATGTTTCTCTCCTATGCCCTGGCAGTCTACATATTCCACACCCCCGGGGGGCCGCGTACGTGGCTGAATAGCCGATTCTCCAGAGGTGCTAGGGCCGGGGGAGGTGCTTCACTTGCTTCCTGTTGCTGCAAAATTAAAACAGAAGCTTCTTCAATTGAAAGGCCCTCTTCAGAAGCAATATGCCTTCGGGACCTAGTCCGTTTTTGCTTCTGCTTCTCGTTTTCAGCGCGTAATTCCTTGTTTTCCTTCGCTAATAAGATAGCGCCTTGCATTGTAAGACGGAAGCCTTTTATAAGCTGGTTTAATGCACGATCTGACGGGCTAGGCGGGCTTCGAGACCTCGTACGAAGTAAAGCTTTAATTGATGAAGCCTGTCGACGTAGTTCTTTCTCTGTAGCGGGTGTTTTTGGTGTGAAATTTCGGCTTGAATCACTACCCCTACTCGGAGGGGGGTAGGGGTTCGAAGCTGAATATTTAGCTTCGAGATCACTCTCTCTGGTGAAAAAGGGACTAAACCAGCTGCTCCGAAGCTATTCTTAATAGTCTCCGATTTGAAAGCTTCAATCCGTATAAGGGGGTATAATTCGAGGAAATCAAGTTTATCAATATGATTAACTTGTCGTCTCATCTTTGTCTCCACCAGCCGACCGTATGATCGTTTTAACACAGCAAAACAGCCGATATCGAGAGGTTGTAAAAGATGAGAGGAGTGCGGAGGCATACAGATAGGTATTATCTTATTTTGCTCGCAGATTTCATCGAATTTCGGGGTCAAATGGCTTCCGTGTCCGTCAAGAACTAGCAGCCTATACCTCCCCTTCGTACGAAGAGAAGTGCTAGGAATAAAGAGCTTTTCAAGCCAGCGAAGTCCAATTTCATCTGAAGTCCAACCATTAGGACTAACTTCAATTCGCCAGTCGTTTGGTAGGCCTTCGAACCATGATTCTAAGTAGACTTTGCCTTTGAAAATTATACACGGAGGGAGGGCCCAACCCGATGAATTTGCACATTCAATAGTAGTCACCCATTCACGATTTCTAGGCTGTAAAAGCGAGCGCCGACCGTAGAATTCACTTCTCGTTATCACCTTCGCCGTAGCGATTAACCCCATTGCAAAACCGGTCTCATCGAAGTTATAAACGTCATCGGGGTCGATTCCAAATTGAAGGATTGTTTTTTGAACGAGATCGAACCACTCTCGAATGATTTTTGGGTCTTCGCACTTCGCACGTTCGAAATTATAGCGTCTCGAGAATCGGGAGGAGAGGTCAGGGTGTCGTTTCACGAATTTTGTAACCCAATTTTCGCCAACTGAAAGGATTGGGGTAGTTCCGCGCTTTTCGAGAAGCAGATTCGCCATTTCTCGAACCATAGAAGGCCGAGGGGCTGATCCCCGAGAATCCATAGAGAGAATCCATTTTCGAAGAGATTCCTCTTCAGTTTCTGTCAATTTGTGTGAATTGGCACGAGAAATCGCGCGGCAAGGGGTATTCTTTAGACGACGGAGGAGAGTTGACTTTGGGACTTCAAAACGGCGCGCTACTTCACAGATAGAGCTGATTTGTTGATCCTTAATAGCCTGGATAGCTAATAAGATTCTACCCTCTTGCTCTATTGAATTTCTAGAGCTTTGAGAGCGAATTGGTGGCATGGTGGGTGGTTGAATTGATTAAGTGCAAATTTAGGGACGCGTTTTGGGTGGGGTGGACCACTCGGTGGTGTGGACCACTCGGTAGTGAAATACGTTAGTTAATTAGAAGGTAGTTACAGAGTAACTAGGGGGTTATAACTATAGTGTAGAATATTATTGGTTATTTAAGGCTGATAGGAGTAAAATAGAGCACGCGTGAAGGGGATAAAAAAATCGACACCTGTGTGATTCGAACACACGCTCCCGAGGGAAATGCCTGGGCTTACACTTTCGTGCATAGCAGGGCATCGCGTTAACCACTCCGCCAAAGTGCCTCTTTGCTTATATAATATTCTTCTGCCGACCTCACCATATCCAGCAAGGCATAAAATCCATTAAAAGGTTAAATAATATATGTACATATACAGTAATACCCTACTACGACAAGCCAGCCGAGAAGATCCCCTTATGCATGCACCCTGCATGCACGCCACTAATATAAGAAAACAGTATTCTTTCAAAAGGATACAGTCAATTAAATACACTAAAAGGTGAGAGCTGCATACCATCAATCAACTAATATTATTTAATGGTATTGGCATTACTGGCAAAAAAAGCAAAGTGGCGTGCATGCATGGAGCATGCATTAGGGGACCTTCTTGGCTGGCTTATCGTGGTAGTAAACCTACATGTATTTATGACGGACCTGGATACAACGAATAACCGTGCCAAGCGCCCAACACGCCTTCCCTGTGTTGGTGCGCCCCAGTCAACGATAAATGTTGAACCTAGATACCTTTTTTATGGGCTTGTCATATAAAAGGTACAAAGGTTACAAAAGACAACATCCATTTTTTCAGCCGCCTATATAGGTAGGGAAATTATAGGTTATTATATATTTTGTAAAAAGGGCTTTAGTTAATTTGACACTAATGCTAATCAAAAATATTGAGTATACTCAAAGTACGGGAACATTTTAAGTCCTACATATAATATTTATATATGATACTTCTTTAATCTGCTTCTCACACTTTTACACTAATTAATTATAATTGATTCTAGTATTAGAACGATCTAATGATACTTATATATTATAATAGTACTCTTATTCATCTTTTTGGCTAGTTTGAGGGTTGGCGAAAATGGATGTTATCGATAGTACCCTAGGTACCTTTTATATGAGGTAGGGCGATATCATAGGCTTTTTTGGTATATGAATGCATGTGGAAACCAGATATATATAGTACATTTAATATGTAGGATCTGGACTTTACGAAAACCTCGATTTAGCGAATATTTGCCCGCATCTCAATTGATTCGGTGTAATCGGGGTTTACAATATATGAAATAGGTCACAGGCGGCATTATCACATGGCATGACACACTATTTGAGGCCGTGAAGTTCGGAGGTGCATGTTTTTCTTCGGGCACCCCCTAAACCTTACATAGACCATCAACGTACAGAGTACATAAATATGTAATTCACCACCGAGCTGGCCACCCATATCAACCTACTAATTCCAAGCTCAGTTATCTCACAACACTAGTAAATTAATTTAAGTAGCTAATTTCTCTATCTGGGCATGCCTCTGACAAGCGATGCGAACTTTAGTACAAAACAGCCTGTAAGACAAGAGACATAAATTCAGAATCTCAGTCATTTTCCCTAGCAAGGTCGCGATTCTGTAGGTTCCAGGCCATGCAATGGTTTTGTGGAGCTTTTTCTCACATCCCAAGGAACATGCTAGCATGCTATCTACCCTCAACGTAGTTTCTTTCCAGTGATAACGTAAATATTTCGATGTTTACAAGGCTAAAACTAGCAGAATGTTGACATTAGCTATTATACGATATGCGGTAGAGTAGCATTTATCACCAGTCCTAGTTCGTGATGTTGTCGCCGAAGCAGGCAGTCGGAGGAGCAAAATCGTTTACCCTGATATACGCAAAGTACTGTAGATCTTGGCAATAAGGCACTTTGGCGGAGTGGTTAACGCGATGCCCTGCTATACATAAAGTGTAAGCCTAGGCATTTCCCTCGGGAGCGTGTGTTCGAATCACACAGGTGTCGTCGTCGTCAGTTTTTTTTAAACTGTCGTTTCTTTCTTTTTGCCTCTTCGTCATGCTGTCTGTCTGGTCTGTCTGTCCAGGTGATTGATTATTGAAATCCAATTCGACATGATGATGTATATACATACATACATTACATATACATTATGACAAGCAGCTAGGGCCGACCTCGTACTATAAAAGAAAACATTAGAGTTATCCAGTTTATTATTATACAAGATTTTCGGACGCCCTAGGGCGTCCTTTCATCTTTTAACGATTCCGTACGTGATATAAGTGAAATCAACAGACAAACATAGCACTAAAACACATATGCAAGATATAATATAATAGTTGATACAACGAAGTTTGATAAATAAAAATAAGTAAAGGTTAATAAGGGGTATAGGCTTCATCCACGCTACGCGATACCTAGTCCGCGACCTCGCACCCGGGAACTGGGTGCGAGGCCCTACCTGATCTGGTACTCCCTATAGCTATTATAGTACGCACTAATAGTACGCAGTATACGTAAAAAGCAGAAAGAGATAAATTTAAAAAGGTATGACGGGCAGAGCTACACCCGCAGGCGGTAAGGTATAAATGGACCAATAGAACACGATAAAAGAACACGAAGGCGGTCCGGAGACCATGAAGTCCAACAAAGTCTTGCACACAAATTCACTTATGAGTGACATGAGTGATTTAAGACTGAAAAAAAGAGCGAGAGGCCCTCCGTTACTTACCTACTACGCTCCTATAGAGCGCCGCTAGCGCTCTGCCCTATAGGCCGACGCGGTATGTAGACGGCTAGCAGAAAGATAAGCAGTATAAAAGGTCGATAATGTAAGAATCCCTATTTTATATACTAAAACTTGGGTTAAATAAGTATAAACCTTTTGTCCGGCATATAGCCCGGTTTTACTGTGATTTCATATACAGAGGCTGGGTGAGTGAAGGGAGAAAAAAAATCGACACCTGTGTGATTCGAACACACGCTCCCGAGGGAAATGCCTGGGCTTACACTTTCGTGCATAGCAGGGCATCGCGTTAACCACTCCGCCAAAGTGCCTTGTTGGTAGAATTCCTTTGACGTTTTTTTATACTGAACTAAATAATATATCAGGAGCTCCATCTTTTTTATTATACCTTGCTCCCATCCCATCCCCCCTTTGGGAATTGCGCCGCACAGGTCTAATAATAATAATAATAATAATAATAATGCAAGTTCTTACTCGGTACCTACATACTTATATAGTAACATACATAGGTACCTTCGATATGGGGCAGCTATATAGAAGGTACCTACGATCCGATTTTTCGATCACAATATTATACGGATAGGGATAAACGAAGCGTCAGAATATGTGATATTGGAATTTCATTATTAAGAGGATTTTTTTAAGAAGGAAGTCTGTGATCTGTGTATACAGTAAAACCCCATTATAACGATACCAGATAAAACGGTAACCCGGTTATAACGATCGGAATCCGGTGCTTTAATTGACCCGCCATATAAAAATCGTTAAAACCTCCCTTGTACGATATCGTTACTTCATCCGCTCTCCCACGCAAAAAAATCGTTATACTCAGGGCTTTATTAAGCATTTTCAACCAATAAAAATGCCTCGCCGATCCATGAAAACCTCCTAAAAGATTATTTAAGCTTCGGATCTTGATATATCAGCTCTTACAATTAAGAACTTTCTTAACCTAGTTGATGAGCTTGTGAAAGATAGTATTGATACTCTTAATGATATTGTACTAAGCGGGTTCCTTAGAGAGGTTTATAAGGATGATATAGTGGTTAAAGAGCCCCAGATTCAACACTATGAAGCTATTTAGGCTTTAAAAACCCTTCAGTTATATGAAGAGCAGTAGGAATAGGGTGAAACCAAGTTGATTACTGCTCTATATAGACATAAGAGGCTAATTGAAGCAAAGAAAACAGGAGGGCAGAAGCAAAGCGATATTAGGAGCTTTTTTGGTGTCTAGATTTGTATGTAAACCAGAAATATTATATATTTAATGTATGGCACCTTGATTTAAAGATTACCTGGATATAACGATATTTCTACTGTGCCTGTAATATATCCGTATAAATAGGTTTTACTGTAGTATATATAGTCAAGGTCAATTTTCACCAGGTGGACTATAGATAGGATATCTAATAATAATGCCATGCGGAGTAATTTCTTACAGGCGTAAGTGAAGGTATGAAAAAAAACGACACCTGTGTGATTCGAACACACGCTCCCGAGGGAAATGCCTGGGCTTACATTTTCATGCATAGCAGGGCATCGCGTTAACCACTCCGCCAAAGTGCCTCCTTATTACTAATAAGTTGTTTGTTCAAAGCTATAGATACTCCCAGGCTTGAAATATGTATGACGGGTTGGGAAAGTGCTAAGGTGCCTATCTGTCTTCCCATGAAACCCCACCTCTCTCCACGTTCTGTCGGGGTCTGGCTTATGGGCCTATCTCCGGTTCATGAGTTGTCTGGCTATTGTCTTTAGTTGAATTCTCAAAGTTATGTTCGATATGCAAATTGGCCACTTTTGGTAATACATAGGCGGACGCGGTCAATGTATATTTCACACCCTTGCCAAACTTCTTAGTATAGAACTTGGTTTCTACAACCATTCAATCAATCTCTTTGCCCCATGAATTAGTCTCATTTGAAAACCTTAAGCGGTACTAAGCAGGAATTCCAGCCTTCCAACACAAAGACTCTAAATCCGACAAGATACCAGGACCCCGACTATCTCATGGCCAAAAAGGACACACATTAACAGGATATCCCAATATCTCCTGGAACTTCTTGTTACGCCCGGGGCTGGTCTTGTCAACATTCACTAATGTCGTCAAGGTGCCAGGTACCGCCGTCTGCACTACTGGGTACGAGAGGTTTTAGGGACCATCAAGATGACCGGCCTAATTGGGCCAATTCCTCTGCTCTATATAGTACGTAGGAACCGACTGGACATTCGGATTACACGGGAAGTCGCTAATTGCTAGTGGGGATGTTTTCAAATGTAAATAGCTGTTATGTAAGTAACCACGTCAAATAGAAGAGCACTTCCGTACCTATACTGATTGACTGCGTAGCTCGACAGGTTCTACATCCCGCTGAAAGAAAATCACGTTTGCCAACAAGCTGGCTCTTCATGCTACAAATTCACGTATACTACGTGTTGATTGACGTCCTTCAATCCGCTCTACTCCCATACGTTGGCACCAACGTAACGACATCCAAGTAGTGTTTTGATATGAGGCTCGTGCAGATGGACCCAGGCTGTATAGTCAAAACAGTTGCGTAGTCACTAAGTCATCACCCTGTGCAGGACCTTGAGCGTAAAGCGGCGGCACCCCGTTCGGGAAATTCGCATGCACGGCGTAAAATATGGTACATACTGCTACATATATAGCGCTTATCAGCCACGTTGATTTACCCTAATCTGACTTTATTGCCTCAGGATCCCATCTTAGATATATATATACAGGTCTAGGGACCCATAAGCTTGCGAGGTAGAAGGGTCTAGTATGGACAGCGTAGATAGTAATATCAAGGATAGACTAGCATATCTTTCAACCAAATACCCTCGACATCCAAGATTCAATCACTGCAAAACAGATTCCCAGCAGCCCTATGACCCGTAGTAATACAAGCCCAAGAGTGACCATCACTATCAGTGAGAACCCCAGCACCGACATCATATTGAGCACAGGTCGTCATGCCAGCATACTGCTTCAGCCAATCAACAATATCACGACCCGTGTTGATGTCCTCATCCCTGGTAGGCGACGCCCGACAGGACATAGCAGCACTCGGCCAAGGAAGGGCAGATAGGTCGACCGACGATGTCGTCTTGAAACTATCCCGATGCAGCTTATTAAGAATCCCACGCACAGTACTCCCAGGATGATCACATACATGTATATGAATCTGCTCCTTGGAGCGCGTGGAGACACTGTTCATCGCAAGTGTTCCTGTATCCCTACTCCCCCTTTTTCTGAGTGTATCCTGACCAAGCCGGAATCCTCCGTCCATGTCAGCAGCCGAACTCAAATTTAGCAGCCGTTGCATTCGGAATTGGCATTGACACAGCCTGAGTAACATTGGGCGAGTTCGTCTCGAGGTATCACGGGGGACGCGGGGGGTGGAGGGTTGCAGTTGATAGGACACTGTCCCGATGGTGTAACGCACACCAGGTCCTTGGGTGATGGTGGGAAAGTCGACGGGCATGTACAACCGCTCACATCCATTTTGGCAATGTCATCTGACGTACACAGGTTTTGTCCACCTTGTGCGATGCCAATGTTAGCAGCATCTGTGTCATCCGTCGCATTGAGTGTTTCCTGTCCGAAAATTGGGGTCACCAGGAAAAGAGAGAAGGCGAATGGAACGCAATGCTTATAGATCTTCCTTGTGATGGATCGGAGGTCAATTGGGAGCAATTAGCGAAATTCTATATTTACACTACGGTGGCGACTATTACTGGATATTTGTAGCTAAAATAAACAAAAGGCATGATGTAAACCTTCCGTATAGATGGGTGTCAGCCCTATGAACCTCACCTTCAATGGGACCGGCTCTCGTTTCCGCAGAGCTCCCAAGGTTCTCAATATCGACGTCCAATGAAGATGCATCTCTCAAGAGGTATATTGGATCGTCGCCGCATATCATTGCCGTCGTATTGTTTGTTGGACACCGAGGTCCGGGGGAGCCGAACATTGAAGACTTGGATCCGATGGACAATATTGTGCCTTGGTGCAAGAACGATAAATATCGCGAGTGAGTTATAGAGTTGTTAAGCAAGATATGCTAGCTAGTGTGAGAGACATCAATAGCAAGGCTGCAATCCTGGGATCCAAATTTCGGTTTGTATGAGATCTATAAGTGAACGCTTGGTGCATAAAGCAGGACTACACATAGGACATAAAAGGCAAAGGGGACCATCTACAGAATCGAGTGTACGGAAATCCATGATTTCATTTCAATATCGTCATGAGAATATAAAGACCACAAAAGCTTTTTCAAAGATCACAACATTTAGTTGCCGAGCTTCTGGCGGGCGAAGTTGGGCAGGACAAAGCTGGCACGGTGGATGTCCTGGTTGTAGTAGCGGCAGAGCTTCTGCTCCTCCTCGGCGGTCCAGGTGCGGAGGGGCTCGCGGACGTTGCGGGTGGCGTCCTTGGAGCAGACCATGAAGCCAATCTGGCCGGAGGGGTAGGTGGGGATGGTGGTGTAGGCGTACTCGGCGACGGGGAAGACCTCCTTGCAGGACTTCTTAAGTTCGGCGATCATGTCCAGGTGGAGCCATTGGTTCTCGGCTGTTAGATAAAAAGCACAGCTCCGCAAGACCGAGCCCGTAAAGCGGGTTGGTTGCGGGGTGGTGCGAACAAAATTAGCATGTGATCCCTTTGTTTGAGTAGTAATAAAATGAGGGGGAATAGACAATCAAAGAGTGATTGTTCTACGAAAAAGGGAGGAAAAAGAAAGTGACGAACAACCTTGGGTAGTGATGACACCTCCCTCGCGAAGGGCAGACTTAAGCAGCTCGAAGTAGGGCTTCTGGAAGAGGCTCTCAGCGGGACCCTCTGGGTCGGAGCTGTCAGTGATGATAACATCGAACTCGTTCTGGCGATTCTTGAGGAACTCAAAGCCGTCACCAACGTGGGTGTGGGCATTGGGGTGCTGGAAGCCAATGGCCATGCCGGGAAGGTACTTCTTGGAGACACGGATGACAGCCTCATCAATGTCGCAAAGAGTGGCCTCCTTGACGGAGGCGTGCTTGACGACCTCACGGAGGACACCGCCGTCACCGCCACCAATGACGAGGACCTTCTCGGGGTTGGGGTGGGAGTTCATGGCGAGGTGGGTGATCATCTCCTGGTAGGAGAACTCATCGCGCTCGGTGCACTGGATAACGTTGTCCAGGACGAGGACGGTACCGTAGTCGCTGCTCTCGAAGACGAGGACATCCTGGTACTTGGACTTCTCGTGGTGAATGATTTGGTTGACCTTGAGGCTCATGGCCTGACCGGGCCACATGCCGGACTTCTCAGAGAACCAGCCATCTGTAGGGCATCAGCATGTTTGTAGCAAATTGACTAGAAGGCGGGGTAATGGAGGGGGTAAACACATACCAACGATGGTGGGGTGGGTGAGCTCGCTCATTTTGATATGAAAGGAAGAGAATCGACGGGGGAAAATAGATGATGAGTAGAAAGCAGAAGAGAGTCTGGAGAGACGAAGCATTCGAAGAAAAAGGGTACGGCGGAAGTTTGGCTGTTTTGGGCGAATTTTTTGTTTCTCGGTCTAAGTGGGGAACCACTGGGCTGCCACCAACCCTCCCCCCAAATATCCTTAGAAACAGGACTGGACCAATTCTAATATAGGCAATTGATCTGGTTACCTCTTAATAGTCCTTGATTGATTGCAATTCCATCCAGTAGACATGCCCTATGTCCACAATTGGGTATGGACACCTCAAGAACCAATAGAGAGCCCTAGAAAGACGCTTACTCAAGCTTCACTTCCATGATAAGAAAATAAAGCCATCTCAGGCGCAAAAAGATGGTAAATAAAAGGAAAATCACATGGTCGATTGCTTTCTAGTTACTGTACAAGCATACAGCTCCCCCCAAACTGCAGAGTCTTGGGTGTATCATGCTCGGTTATACCAATTCAACCCCACTCCAAGAAACAAATTGAAATAATTTACTCTTCGTTACCACCCTCGAGAAGACGGCCGGGCTTGGAGTTAAGGAACTCGTTGCTAAAGCATCAAATTAGCGCACCGATCGAAGCGGCTCCCACGGTCATTCTTACCGCTCAATGGCCCAGTTCATGACAGCGTATGCGGCAACGAAGGGAGGGACAACGTAGAGAACCTGGTGACGGAAACGACGGAAGACGTTGAAGATGGCAGCGTGGCCGGCACCGGCGAAAGGCTTCTGACGGTTGGCGGACAGCGAGTAGGTGGCGATGCGCTGGGGGTCGGGCAACCTGGAAGAGGATATTAGCGATTCGTTCGAATTGCATTCTCCTGTTTGTTCCTCTCCATTCCTTGTCGCGATCTTTGATATCGCGAAAGGGGTTGGTATCATGCGCATGCATCGGGTCCGTATGAAAGGTTCAAGGGTTATTGTCAAACGTACCGAACTCGCCCCAGTTGCCGATGAAGCTATAGAAAGTAAAAGTTGTCAGTTAACTGAATGAAAGAAGCAGGAGTCATTGAATCTATTAAAGCCCGACTCAATTGACATCTTTTGGGAATTGCATTGTGGTAGCCGGGCGGGTAACGCATCCGGGAGACCGGTACTCAACCCACGACACCAGGAGCAAAAGCGAAACGACTCACTGTCCGTTCTTAGGATCCACAGAGCCACCCATTGTGAATGATTTCTGGTAAAAAGAGAGGAGTGGGTGGAGAAAGGGTATGGAGGTAGCGAAATGAGTGAGGAAAAGACGTGAGTCGGGCGAAGTTGGAGGTTTGGGAAGATGGGCACTAAACCCGATCGGGAACACTCAGAGTGAGCAACGGGAAAAGCAGACATCATCTCCATTATCCGTCCTCATCACCTCGCCCTCCACCTCCAACCATGGCTCAAATCCTCCAAAATGTTTATCGGCTGGCCTTCCCCGTGGCCATTGGGGGTATGCTAGTTCAAAATTCCCTTTACGATGTCAAGGGCGGCACACGAGCTGTCATCTTCGATCGAGTGTCTGGTGTGCAAGAGAAGGTTGTCAACGAAGGAACACATTTCTTGATCCCCTGGTTGCAGCGCGCAATTGTCTACGATGTCCGCACGAAGCCTCGTAACATCTCCACCACCACAGGAAGTAAGGATTTGCAGATGGTCAGCTTGACGCTGCGTGTGTTGCACCGCCCGGAGGTGCCGAAGCTGCCGCAGATCTACCAGGTGTGTATCTCCTATGACCCCTAAGCATCTACCGAAACAACAGACTAATCCAAAGTTATCCAGTCATACGGTACCGATTACGATGAGCGTGTCCTCCCATCCATCGGAAACGAAGTCCTCAAGGCCATCGTGGCCCAGTTCGACGCCGCCGAGCTGATCACACAACGTGAAGCTGTCTCCAACCGTATCCGTACCGACTTGATGAAGCGTGCCGGACAGTTCAACATCGCACTCGAGGATGTCTCCATTACACACATGACCTTCGGAAAGGAGTTCACACGGGCCGTCGAGCAAAAGCAGATCGCCCAACAGGATGCCGAGCGGGCCCGATTCATCGTCGAGCGTGCCGAGCAGGAGCGCCAGGCCAACGTCATTCGCGCCGAGGGTGAAGCCCTGAGTGCTGAAATTATCAGCAAGGCCGTCGCCAAGGCTGGCAGCGGACTGATTGAGATCCGTCGTATCGAGGCCAGCAAGGAGATCGCACAGACTCTGTCCGCGAACCCCAACGTCACTTACCTGCCCGGTGGAGGAGATGGAAAGGATGGAAAGGGAACTAGCATGTTGCTGGGTCTGCGGAGTTAGGGGGTGTTATAAGGCTCGGGGATTTATGGGCCCCGTTTTCACAACTCATTGAATGTACCAATTAATCGCAATCTTGACCGCGACTTGGGGCGAGCCTGGCCTCGTGGCGTGAATTTGGAGTGGTCTGAAACTAAACCACCTTTCTTATCTGTAGCAATACCATACCTCACTCCACACCACAATTCCCTTTTTTTTTGGAAGACTCAAATCGTATTGTTCATTAAATGGGTATTTATATATCGTGATATAGAACACATCAGATCTACAAACGCCGATACACATGCATCTGGAAGCGCATATCTTCCAAGCCTGCGCCTTCCCCAACTTCATAACGCAGACGCACTGCGTCCCGTCTCCACCACCTCGAGTCCTGAGTGTATACGCACTCCCACTTACCCTTCGCCACATTCAGCAGTGTATGGTCAAGCAAGAACTTCATCGGATAGTTCCTCTCTTGTGGTTCACCATCAGGTCCTTTTGTTCCTAACTTCAAAGTCGAATAGCTGCCAGGACTATCAACAACCAAAAGCACCGCACCGGCAGGAAGGATTTCCGTCATTTTGAGCATGAAACCGGTTGTCTTTGGCATGGAGGTAGAGAAGAGCTCATTCAAGGTGAACATGATAGGAACAAGCACGGAACTGAAAGGAGAGGACGAGGAAGGACCAAGCAGAATTTCTTTCAGGTCCTCCTCGGGAAGAGTCAGGACATCTGCGCGACGGAAAGCTACCGAGAATGTTTCACTAGCCACTTTCTTCGACAGCAACGGGGGACGATATTTTGTTGTCTGCGAGAATGGCACATCGGCCGAGGTGATGGTTCGCGAAAGCCTGTCGACAACGTCCGACCAGTTTCCGATATCAACAGCCATGACAGAGAGACTGGGTGCGCTGACACCTTGATCTTCAACTTCAGGCTTCTCGTCTTGAGATTCCTTGTCTTCAAGAGACACGCCGGCAACACGTTCCTCTAGCGACTGGGCTTGGGAGCCCATGTCTCTCCACGCAGCTGCAAGAGCAGCGATCTCTGCACCGGCTCCGCCACCAATTGACACAACACGGGTGCAGGGATTCTTGCTTCTAGCACGGCCTCGTGTGTTTTCCTCTTCCTCTTTCATCCAGGCCAAAACTCCCTTCAAGAGGCCGGCATATCCAAGTGACCGGGACGCACTCCAACGCAAGGCATAGGCGCGCAAAAGATCCTCACCTGCCTCGGTGAAGGCAGAGTCAAAATCGCGCTGGTACAAAAGCCCCTTAATTGTCTGGATGAGAGATTTAATATCTAGTGGTTCATCTTTATTTTCGTTTTGTGGTTCAGTGGGGTTGGTATCCTGAGTTGCAGATTCCAATTCTGCGACTGGGTTGCCGAGGAGGGCTGTCTTGAATACGTCCAAAAGCAGTTGCTGGAGGGTGAGAGGAATTGTGCTGACAAGGTTAAGTCCGGAAGACTCGTCCTCCTCAGCTTGTTCGGCGTCGGCTTTGGCTTTTTCGACTTCGGCTTTGCGATTGGCGTGCTGTTTGTTTGCTGGTGGCGCTTGCTTTGGTTTTTGCGATTTCGCTTTCGGACCTGGGGACCTCCTGCGGTTTCCCTGACGTGGGGCGTGAGGCATTATATATATTCGACGAGAAACTCGTTTCGTCTGGTCTTTTGTGAGGAATGTGACTGTCTTTAATCGAACGTGGGGTGGAATTTTGAACTTTTTCCCTTATCGTTATCGGCGCCTCCACTATCAAGGTCTATAAACCCTCCAGGGCTGGCCTCGACATTCGACTTAATTATTGAACTTCTTCGAGTATTTTAGGCATAAATTTAGAGAAATATAATAACTAAAAGTATAATCAACCTCTTTGCATCTTAGAAACGTATGCTTATCAAGATATATTGCATCAGGATCTATATAATGGTGATTATAAAGATATATCTAGTCCGGAATCAGAACACCGAGCGCATAGAAGCTCTAGACAGAATAAACGCAACAGAGGATGTTTGATAGCCTTCGATATTATGACCAAATTTCACTTAATCAATGTTTAACAGTAATTGTATAGCATCTCTATCATACATGGTGTCGGCCCTGTATCTATCGACCTTTAGGGTTGACCAAGGCGCTGCATTTTCTCCAGGAAAAAGCCACACCCCTGCAGTATGCAGAACTACAGATGGGACCAGTATCTCAGGTTTTTAATCATGCAGGAAGGTTGGCAGAAAGAATTATCGCCTTGCCAACATCCCTGCTTAGAGCAGTAAGGCAGTACGGAGTTGAAACTTCAGATGGGACGAAATGGGTTTAGAGTATCTCCCCTTTTTAATATTAACTAGCACTAATAATCTAAGAAGTTTTCAAGATCGTGCTAGCTGTCTCTCATTGATAGAAGTATATGGCGATTTGGCTGCCAGTACGAAAGAAACACCCATTCTTTTGATGTTTGCAAGTGATATACATATGTCTAATTCAATTTGGTTCTTAACATAGAGATATAGTATATTACTAGCAACGTAAGTAGTATTATATCTAGATGTGCAGATTTCATAATGAGGAACCTCAAATGATAGGAAGTCAAAAAACTATATACATATCTGTCGATCAACATGCGATGCACTTGAGAGTAGTCATCTGAGGGCTTTATTACCAATCCACCCAGGCCACGTGCGGAGAGCTAATGTAGCAGGCACTAGATGGAAGAAATGTCTACAAGGATACATCGCGTGCTGTGATATACGTTTTGTCGTTCTTGCGACTATTGTACTATCCCGGACAACCACACTTCCACCTAGAGCGTTGCCTACACCCTACACCCACGAGATTCTACTTCACCATCCAAAAAGCCACATGAAGATATGCGGAGATAATGATTCGACAACACGAAACCAACACACCAAGGCCATCATGTGATATCGCGTTGAGCCGCTCGCGCGAGTCAAGGACCGAACCCGCGATCCGCGTAATAATGAGTCACAGCCTAGTGCTGTCAGCCAAGGAGTCATTTCGGTTGTCCGAGGGTATTACGACCAAGCTTGACGCCTCATAGGCCACCGTGGGGGAGCCTCGACCTCCGTACGGAGGCCGTTAACGGCGGTCTTGTCTCCTAACTCCGACCTTCTAGATATGGACGCCGCCAGCGGGGCCACATGGTTTCTGAGACGGCCGTGCCCACGAAGGTCTCGCCAAAGCCTCGTGGGAGCCTGCGAGACAAGGGAGTCCGGGATGGAAGTGGTGTGGCTGAAATGTTTGCCTGAGAACTATCGCTATCGCATGGAAGCCTGGGTGCCTCAGGAATAAATACTTGTCCACGTCCATGCATATCATTGGCTGCCCTATACTTCGACTGTCAACGTGCATCTTGGGCTCAATGCCACGAGGAACCATCGTATCTGGGGGCTAACAAATGGTCTCTTGGGGTTATGAATTACAGAGTAAGGCTACGATGATTGAGAAATATGACTTCATAAAGATGATATTATTCGTACAATCTGCTATTAATCAGGAACAAATCGAACTAAAAGTCGAGTTGAGTGGTAGAATAATATATCCGAAAGGACACATCAAATCAAACACTCGGGTATATGAGGCGAGACAAGGCTGTAAACCGCCTCTGGAAACAACACCGCCTGGCCCATATGAAAGTATCAAGCTAGAACGCCGTAAAGACTGGGAAGGTCAATCCTTGAATTCTTGAATCTTTGCAGAATGCACAAGATCCAAAATCCGATTTCAGCTCAGAGAAGAGCCATGGAGACCGACCCCAAATGCTACACAAAACAAAGAAAGCAAAGTCGCAAAGTTGACTCAAAACAAAGAGAGAAAGCAAAGTCGAAAAATTTTGAAGCCCATTGGTTGCTTCGATAAACGCCCACATGATGCATAGGTCAAATCCGTAGACGTTTCAATCTGGAAGGAGCAGCCCTAAACGGGAGGAGCCGCAGCAGGCTGGGGAGCGGGCTGCGAAAGTTCCTGCAGTTCGGGTACGGGAGGAGACTGCTGAGGGATAGCCTGCTGAATGTTGGCGACGATTCGCTCTAGCTCTTCGAGGCGGCGATCCTTCTCTTGGACTTCACGGCGGAGTCTCTTAACTTCGTTGTGCAGATCAATTCCGTGCTCATCAGTCTCAGGCAGGTCTCGGAGATCTCCGACGGCAGGAGAATCGTGGCGACGCTTCATTCCAGTGATTGGGAGAGAAGGGGCACGGACGCCTTCAACACCATCAAGTTCAGTGGCGCGATCCCAAGACATGTCGACCATAGTGGGGGCTTCGTCATTGTGCATGTGGCGGCGGCGGAGGTGTTCGCGCAGGTTTTCTTGGCGCGTAAATCCATTACCAGTGCTGCGGTTGCAATCAGTGTATGGGCACATCAGGGCCTTCTTGGTATCGGTGTTTTTCTTGTGAACTTCGCGCTGGTGACGAAGAAGGCCGCCAGAGTAGGTGAAGCCTTGGATCTTGTCACAGTTTGGTTCATAACACTTGTAGGGACGATCATGTTTATCCATATGTTTGCTGGAGGGATGTTAGTACTGGGCGCATTAAAAGACACAATAGGGCATTCTACTTACTTCCATTCACATGGACGACGGAAAGTAGGAGGCGCAGCCTGACACTCAGGATGGTCGCAAAAGATCTGACCTTCAGAATTCTTAGGAGGGTCACGGGCGCGTCGAACAGAAAGGCGCGGGCGCGCGCCGTCGATGTTGTAAGCCATGGGCTGGGATTCGTTCATTCTGGCAATTGGTGGCGAGGTTTCAGATGTAGAGGCAAGGATAGACGCAGCGAGAGCACCGTTAGGACCTTCACTTCGTGGGCTAGGATAGTCAGACCCGTCGCCCATATCGCAAAGTTGATACCCCACACTACTGAGGGGATGGTGATAGAAGGTAGTAGATACCAGAAAGACGCGTCGTCAATTCGCAACAACGATAAATGTGGAAGCAACAAGTAGTTGGGAAGAGGTAAACAACAAGAATAGAGTTGTTTATGAAAAAAAATCAAATAATTGGCGGTGAAGGCCTAGTAGATGTCGATGGGTATGAATTCAAGGTGAAGATGAGGAGTTGCCAAAATTTTCAGGTAGCAAGGCATCAGCGGGCTATTTATACCGGTTGCGTCAGGTGCGGTGCGCCACTGTGGCGCAGGATCCTTGCTCAGCGTCCCTGCAGGAATTTTGGTTCTTTCGTTTTCTAGTGGAGTTTCCAAGCAGCTAGATTGTCATATGAACTTATAACTGGTTCGAGCTTATATACATGCAGGTATAAATGTGTCAAAATATGGACAGTCCTGTTTATTTAATGCCTTGGGGTAGATGAGGGGGCCAAGGAACACAAGTGACTCATACCCTATAGAGACACCGAGGGTATGACTGTATACTATCTACTCCGTACTCCATATGGAGTTACCAATCCCATTGTCCCATATCGGCGGATCCGATTTAGGTATCAAAGCAAGATGCCTGTCAGGCAGCCGTCCACTCCCGGAATATTGTTTAAGGTCGCCACAAATGGTGACAAATTCAGTGGCGGTGAGTTCACGTGACATTGATCGGCCTGATCATCTATCACGTGCATGGCAAATATGCTTATTTAAGCATTAAAGATCGGGCAGCCGGGCAGTGCCCTTCTGCAATGCCCGTTCGCCATGCCCGTTCGCTATGCCCGATGTTAGGCTGCAACAAACTCGTGGTTGACAAGCTTTATAAATCAATAATCTGCATGTCCACGCAATCAATTGCTTCTATTAAAAGGAATACCATAAGGATCCATCTAGGAGGCTGTCTCAACCTCAACCAGGCTATGCAAGTACTTAAAATTAGACATGAATGTTGTACGGGATTCCAAGGAAAGTAGCACAGAAACAACGTGGTCTGCATGGATATGCTTGGAAGATCAATCTACCGAGAATCTTGTAGCCTATAAATTATCCTACGACTCAGCTACGAATATACAATGCTAGAACCCTTTGCCACATAGTGAAAGACCTTCTAGACCGCCTCCACGGAGAATAATGAATGGCAAGACTGCAATTAATCTGCAAGACTATGCTGTAGAACAGCAATGGAGTCACCAAGCAGTATGTCATTTGTGTTCCATACAAACATAGAGAATTTCCCGAGGGGATGAATTAGAAAGGATAATTAACACTGCCTCTATCATAATAGAACAGCCTTTGATACTAGGTAAGCCTAATGCACGTTCATCTATTTTGAGTAATTTGCTGCCCAGTTGGAATTTATGTTCCAAGCAAGCGATGGAACTAGCATCCCTCAGATCTATACGAAAGGACGCCCAAACTAGCAAAGCAAAGCCACCATTCGACGTGGACCAACAGGCATACAATTAATCAAATGGAAACCACATCCATGTCAAAGGTTGGGAATGAGTTCATCGTGTTGTCAATGTGAGATGTTCTTACTCCCGTGGCCCCACCGGATAGTCTGAGAGTCCTTAGCACTTGACCCTTGAAACATTTTCGCCTTATATTGCTCTCTTCTCGCTTCGCCAGTTATTTCCTCTTGTATATTGAGGTAGTGTGGAATTCTAGAAGTAATATTATCAATTTCATATTTCTCAGCATGTGGTTTGGCGCGTAAATTGTATATCTGGTACTATTTCATTGCGGCATTTGTGCTACAGGCCCAGGGACCATGCTCCACCATCCCTACCAACCTAGCACCCCTTGACCTTGTCTCTTCGAATTTTTTATATTCAAACTTGTGTATGTTACCCTTCAAGTGAAATTACCATAAGATCCCAAACAGGGATATGAATCAAATGCGTTACTCATTTTTACTTCAACGGAGCCGAGGCGTTTGCTGGGCTTCAAGACGCGCCTTCAGTGGCACCACTCGGGTACAAGCCTGCCATACAGAGAAAAAACAGTGCCCCAAGAGCATCGAGCGCGAAAGCCAATCATCTCAAGCCCCAAAATGTGCCAAAAAGCCGCCAGCCCAACCCCTATCGGCGCTCAGTCTTCCATTCTGGACCTGCAGATCCACCTGGAAACGAGCGGGAATCAACACCTTCCGTTGTTTGGTGGGATGTACAACCGGAGATTTCTCCGCCCTATGGATCCTGCAGACATACTACGCTGAGATGGGTATGAGCAGTATAATGGCCTTGTCGAGTGGGTTCCCCCCTTGAACCAATCAAAACCTATCGGATCGTGTGTACTAACAATCATCTAGTGGTGTCCGGTATTACGACTTCGGTTATCCTCGAGACAGTCCTTCTCCGCCGGGGGGCTGACCAGCTCTCCTGGCCGATGGCTGCTCGTACCGCTATGGGCATGAGTATGGTCTCGATGTTGGCCATGGAACTAGCTGAGAATGCCGTTGACTATCATCTGACCGGTGGGATAGTTGCTTTGGGGGATCCGAAGTTTTGGATGGCGGCAGTGGTATCGGTCGGCGCTGGGTATCTGGCCCCATTGCCGTATAACTATCTACGTCTTCGGAAATATGGAAAATCGTGTCACTGATTTCCAATGTACCTAATGTACCTAGTATGCTCACCTGTATGTAATATAGACATCGTTTTAGTCAATTGGACAACTCCACTATAGCTCTTTCCCACAATAAACTTGAGCGATACGAGACAAGTACTGAACTGAACCACGGCCGATTGAGATGATGCACCTGAGTTAGTACGACAGTAAGGCTGATAGTGGGAGCGGCTGATCGGGCTGATGGGTAGAAGCTGAAGCGTAGAGACGGATTTAGCCCTAATTCGGCAACATAAGCCGGCGAAGGTTCTAACCTTAGATGGTTGGCTTAGTTCTTGGGTTTCATATTGCCTGCTTACGGATATTAAAGAAAGGTATGGGGTCATAATTGGCATTGTTCTTCTAAGCTAGACACCTGACTACCTAAGAGATGAAGATAGCAAGTATGAAACATGGCCAAGGGGTAGGGGTAAATTCGCAGAGTTGCCCAGTAATTGCTACCGGGGCTATGGGAACTGGGCATCGGCAATCGGCGGGTGAGTTTTCAGTAATTCCTTCAGCCGGAAGATACTGGAGGATCATTGGCTGTCGCCTCATCCCCAAAAGTCACGCCTTGTAAGAATGTCACGGTGACAAATGGTGAGGGATCAGACCCAGGGAACAATCCTTCGACGGACAGAACGGTGCTCTGGTAGCAGGCCAATAGGACCCGGGGATAAGCATCCGAAAAGTCTTGGGTTTGCCGATCCAAAGTCCTGGTCGGCATAAAAGAAACGGGCGGGCAGACTCTGCTGGAAAGAACCCCGATAGTATGCACGGACATTGCTTCGCCGAGTGGTAAGACGGGCGAACCTGTTGGAGGTTGCCCTGGGAAATGTTGGACACGAGAGTCACTCAGTCATAGTTGCCACCGACTTGGCTAGCGAAAGCAGTGGAGACGCTACGGGCGTCATCGTCGTCGTGAGGATTCTGGCCTGGCACGCCACGAGTCACGCGAATGCTGGCGGAGCTGCCTCCGAAGATGCTGCCGTTGTCGGGAACTCCAGCCCTGTAAGGCTCGCGCCCGCCAGACTCGACGTAGCGCTTCAACCGGTCAGATTGGCTGAGACTGGGCTGTTTGCTCATATCATTAATGCTTAGACCAGTGAGACTGACACCGCCCTGATCAACGCTCCGTCCGTCAGTGACGCTGCAGGTGACATCAGACTCAGTGGCAGCAACTGACTCGCCAGCCACACTGGGGGCCCCCTTGGGTCGGGCACCATTTGCTCGACGACCGCCAGAGATCGCAGGCCAGGACTCGCCAAAATTCTGGAACATAGGAGGGTAACCAGAGGGAAGGCCAACACCACCAAGTGCCGAGCCGTGAACAGAAGACACATCGTCGGGGATATAGCCCACCACAGACCCAGAGTCATGATACTCATTGCGGTGACCGTTGTTGCGACCATTCACTCCATTGTTTGGGGCATTGTTTGTCTGACTGAAAGACATCTGGAAGCGCTGTGGGCCTCTGTATGCTTGCTTAGGGCGGCTGAATTGAATCAAGGACTCCTGAAGGTTGGACAGGGGCCCCTCCACAAGACAGTGGCGTTCCTTGAAGTGCTGTAAAAGGCAGTTCCACAACGGGTGCTTAGACAACACCTTGGGGTTTCCGAGAACAACCAGACCGTATCGAGCACGAGTAAGGGCCACGTTGAGACGACGAGGATCGCTCAGGAAACCAATACCTTGGTGATCATTGGAACGAACACAAGAAAGGATAATGTAATCCTTCTCTCTGCCTTGGAAGGCATCGACCGAGGCAACTTCAATCTCCTTGTAATGTTCCTTCTTGAAGGTGCCATTTGCCTGCATGGAGCTGACAATGTAGCTTCGCTGTCCCTCGTATGGAGTGATGATACCGATATCTCTAGGCTGAACACCTGCCTTGAAGAAGCGTGTGACAATCTTCTCGACGTTGGTAGCTTCAGTGCGGTTAAGATACGAGGTGCCCGACGCGGAGATTTCTTCATTGCCCAGGTTTGACCAAAACATCATGGGATCATCAATGATGGGCCAAGGGAAATCAACGTCACGGCGGACACGATCAGCAATAGTGATACCGTTCTGCAGGGAGCCTTCGTAGAACATATTGGACGGGAATTCCGAAAGGCATGGGTGCATACGATACTGGACATTCAAGCGAATAGGAGAGCAGCCCAAGATGACGAGACGCTCGAACAAAGACTGGTTCAGACCAGCCTTGGCGGCCTTCTTGTTCATGATCACGGGGCCAAGCTGCTGGTGATCACCAACCAGCACAACTTGTTTGCAGCCCAGAACCAGGGGGATCATACACTCGGGCTCAGCAGATTGGGTTGATTCGTCAATCAGGACAGTGCGGAACTTGCCCTTTGACAGACGAGGATCACCTGCACCAACACAAGTACAGCAGATGACATCTGCGTTAGTCAAAATCTCACGTTCAGCAGAGCGAGTAAGTTGCTTCAGGCGCTTTTCATCTTGGCTGGACAATTCCCCAAGCTCGGCCTTGAGCTGGTTGAGTTTCACCAACTCAATGTTGCTATCGTTCATACGAACCTGCTCGTGTAGAGAAAGGAAACCAACGGCAGATTCCACATCCTCGCGAGATTTAGCAGTAACTCGCACGGTCTTGAGACCTGTCCGATGGATACGCTCGCAGAGCTGGTCAACGGCAACGTTGGATGGGGCGCAGACAAGAACCTGACCTCCATTGATCTTGGCAAGGTGATAGATGATAGTGGCTGAGGTAACGGTCTTACCAGTTCCGGGAGGACCTTGGATCAGACTGAGTGGTCGCTGGAGGACACTTTTAACCGCGTTGATTTGACTGCCATTCAGATCTGGCAGACCCGGAACACTGAATTTCTTCGGAATCTGGGTCTTCATAGGAGCTGCAGCAACCTCGTGGCCAAGGAGACGATGGAAAATGTAGCCTGAGACACTCTGCTCATCCACCGCAAATGTCTTCATAGCACATTGCATGCGGTCGAAGGAAGTCGATTTCCAAACATAGTCGGCCATAAAATTGTGCGTGCACTCGGTGGGTACGGACTTGTGGTCGCCCTTGGCACGTAGTTCGATAGTGACCTCATCAGATTGATTGTTTGGGATCTTGATGACATAGCCCACACCCTCCCACTTGGGACGCAGTTCACCATTGTACTTGATGCGCATCTCGTCACCCACGGCCAGTTTGACATCTCCCAGCTCAAGCTTGGGAAGTACAAAGCTTGCGAGGTGCTTATTGTTGAGACCAAGATCCCAACGCACGATGAGTCCATCTTGAGATTGAGATTCCTTCAACTTGCGGTCGTAATCAGCCTCAATCTTAACAAGTGGGCCGAAAATATTCTGGTATTGGAAAGCATCATCGTAGCGGAGTAGCACTGGCGCAGGTTCATCATCCACCGCTGTGGCCTTCTCTAGATCTTCCAGAGTCGCTTGTGAATTGTCCTTCCACATTTCCTCCAGTTTCGCAATCAATTGAGGACTAAGGTGACGAGCTCGGAGTTGTTCCTGGTCAGTGGGTGCTCCGACAAGCCAGGGAAGGAAAGAACGATCCTCGATAAGAGGTTGCCAGCGTGAAGTGTCCCAGTTCATGTCCTTAGAGGAGGGCATAGAGGCACATGGCTGCCGACAAAGCAAAACAACAACGGTGTCAGATTTGGCGGGGATGAAGCCAAGCAAAAAGACATTTTTGGTGCCGCAGTTGTAGCATTCCAGAATAGTATCACCCAAAGAAGAGCCAGGGTGAAGTTGGACTTCCTTATGACGAGCTCGGACAAGGTGATTGACAATATGGGAAGAAGAGGTATTGCCACGGGCACTGCAGAACCACTTATTGCACGCAAGACATTTGACGACGCTGCTCGGGTTGTGAATTCCGCAGTACCTATGATATAATCAGCAAATGGCCATCCACGAAGAAGATATAAAAACTGACGCGCATGCATGAGCGGGGAGCTCTATTTCCTCCTCTCCATTTCCTTGGGACTTCTGATTCCCGTTTGTGGGTGCACCGACTGTGCTTTCCATGTCGTCATCTTCGAAGGTATCAGAGCCGTCGTCTTCGTCATCATGTCGACGTGGACGCGCGCGACCAAGTGCGTTTGAATCAATCTCATCGATTTCAGCTCCCGCCGAGGGGCCTTCCGGTTGGTAGCTCATTACGAGTACCGTTTTGGAACGCTGATAGGGATGACTGAAGCCGAGCAAGATTCAAAGCAGAGAGAAAGGTAAAAGGCAGTTGAAATCTGAAATGAGCCTTGCAGTCGTAAATGATAAAAGAGCGTAGAGGACAATCCGGTCGTCCTATGGGTGTTCAAGGTTTGAAATCTCCAGGGTGTGCCTGAGGGGCAAACGAACGGAGATCTATATCGGGATATGGGATTAGCGCTAGGTTCTTGATAAGAGCAACTAAGCACATACAACCAGTCCAGCTCTCTGTCTCAGAGGACTGACAAAAGAGAGTCGATGAGTTTGTCTCGAAAGATGAGCAAAAAGCGTCTCCGCAACTGCCCAGATTCTTTATCGGTGCGATCCCACTACGGCCGCGCAGATAAACCAAAAACGCAGCCCCGGAGTTAACAGAGAAAAAAAAAGTTGCCCGCTCTTCTTTGCTCAAGCCACTTTTACTTCAATCTTCAAAATGCTGGTAAGTGAAGGATAAATTTGATACATTTGACATCTTACTTACAATCAGTAGCGCCGCCAAACTCGCGAGCGTCGCGATTATCTCTATCGCAGAGCTTTGCTGCTCCGTGATGCCTCCATTGCCGAAAAAAGATCGCAACTCAAGGCTTCATTGGCTTCTGGAAAGCCTCTAGACCCTACAATCGCAAATGATAAAACGCTTCGGGAAGACTTCAAATATGACGAATCAAAGGACAAGGAAGACGCTGAGATGGACATTGACGATGAATACGTTTTAACCTCCGGCATTATCGACCCCCGTCCTCTGGTTACCACCTCTCGCTCACCCTCCGCTCGTCTCGGCGCATTTGCGAAAGAAATCCGCCTTCTCCTTCCTACATCCATTCGCCTCAACCGTGGAACTCTCGTTCTTGGAGATCTCGTCTCCAGCGCCACCTCCGCGGCTCTGACCGACATGATCCTGCTTCACGAGCACCGTGGTACCCCGACCGCACTCACTATTTCACACCTTCCCCATGGTCCCACCGCCAGTTTTTCTCTTCACAATGTCGTCCTTCGTCAGGATATTCCCAATGCCGCTCGTGGTACTGTGTCAGAAAGCTACCCGCACTTGGTCTTTGAAGGATTCAAGACGAAGCTGGGTGCCCGTGTTGTTCAGATTCTGAAGCATCTTTTCCCCCCTCGCGAGACCGGAAAGGTCGGCAACCGTGTTGTGAGCTTTGTGAACAAGGACGACAACATCGAAGTGCGCCACCATGTTTTCGTCAAGACTGGGTACCGTGATGTGGAGCTGGCTGAAGTTGGACCTCGCATGACAATGCGACTTTTCGAGATCCGTGGAGGTACATTGGAGAAGGGCTCGAGCGGCGACATCGAATGGGCTCTTACCCAATACACGAGAACCAGCAAAAAGAAGGAATACCTGTGATTCTTTACGAACTCGCATCACTACATTGGCTGTGGCGGGGATGGTTAAACCAGAACCTCCCCTCACATTGTTGATCGACTGGCGTATCTGGCGTTAGAGGGCAATTAGAATGGGTTCTTTTGTCATGTTCAAGTTTATGATTTTGAGAATGTCTAAACCAAATATTAAAGACATGTACAGCAGATTTTTGGGACCATCATGACCCAATTTCCTGGCAATGAATTGGTTGCCAGTCTATAATTTATGCTATAGTGTACGAAACATACAATCCGACTCATAAAACCTTACAAGGATCTAGATTAATTAGAGATTTCCCCGGTTTTGCTGAACATGTAAGTTAAACAAAAACACTGGTAACTATAACACATTTAGTGATACTTATATATATGTACATGCTCTTGGCAGCTTTCTCTTGGGGGCTGTTCAAATCATTTTCATATCCTTATCCATATCCTAGCCAGAAGGACAAACATAGCAGAAATCGGGCAATAGTCTTAATCGTACCTAGGTAAGATTATAATGTACGCAAGCAAGCCTTTTATCGAATAACTAAAGCAGGAGGAAAAGCCGGTAGTCCAGAAGACCATTCATACTAAATATGGGTTTTGCCGTGCCCGGAAAACCCCTGCGTTCTTTTAGACAGCGTGGAGGTAGAACTCTTCAAAGCGATCGATGTAAGCTCATATATAAATTTTTGGAGGAAGTACTTGTTGAAGCTTACTGTACTGGGTGAACTGAGACCCTGAGAACAATATTCTCAAGATATCGATGGTACAGCCTAGATAAATACCATATATGATTGGCAGATTGATCAAAAAAATCTTATATCCTCAGAAGGCTTCATTCCAATCATTTTCATCTAAGGAAGAAGACAGGGGCATCGCTGAGGCCAAAATTCGCTGCTTTACCAGTGGGCACTGAAGTTGAACAATTCTGGAATACAAGTAATATCTAAGCTGTCAACTGTCGGGTATATAATGCATTTACTTTGTACCTCTTAGGTACGGCAAAGCCAACATGGGCTTCAATCATTTCAAGCGATAGAAGCCAGTTTATAAGAGTGGGGACATGTGGGTCACGCTGCATGTGATTAGCCCTAAAAAGCCACGATCATCCCAGGCCCCACCGGAGGCTCCATTACTATAACGTTGGAAGGGGTGGTAGAGAGTCGATATTACCTACTACAACTCAGGACACCATATAAATTGACATGTTTATGGGGGAAATACTACGTCAGAGTCGCAATTATACATCTCATCTGTGAAATGAAGAATCGAAAAGAAAACACCAGATATTTATGCAGTATACCAGCAAACTAGGAGAAGGGGCCAATTGGTGTCGAGTGCCTAGTATACTAGTATAGCATCCTGGAACGCTCATCTACTTCCTTGCACCCTCATACAATGCCATTATAGTTTTATTGGGAAGTGTATGTAACAGAATGAGAAAATAAGCGCATACATATCCTTCGTATGTGCTGTCCTGAAATCATCGAATTTACATTCGGCATATAATATGCGTTGATCATGACCCACCCATCCACGTCCACCAGGGAATCCACTCACGAGTACAGGTGTTAGCCACCTGGAGGGATTCCCGTCATCCATAGGCAGGTAGTACCTAGCTATCCATTTCATCATCCTCACCATCAGCCTCAGATCCGTATTCGTCCCCATCTTCAACGTGATGATTTGCCATCTTATCATCGATACCGCCCTCTTGGGTGCGATCGCATGCGACGTCGCCAGTCGATCCTTGAGAACTTGTGTTCTGGGGTTCCCTGAGGAATGCACCAATAATGGTCATCTTTTCCTCGAGATAGAACCACCCCTCGTGAACAGGCAAACTCTTTCCGTTCGGGCCTGTCTTTGGGGGTGGCATCTTTCCGCTTGCCCTTTTGTCCCATTCCTTGCCAGTCTGTTCTTTGAAGAACTGCTTGAATTTGTCCACGGCAAGCTCCAGTTTGCACCTTGGCCCCGCCAGAATTTCGACATTGGATGTGCCAATGCGACTGAATTTGGTGTAGGCCGAGTAGGTGTGTGGTTCAGCGATGGATTCGAAAAGCTGGGTAATATCAATATTATGGAAACATTCACGCACTGCCACAATATGACTTACAGTCAATTGGCATTTTTCTCTGCTAGTGCCTGGTGGTTTCGATGGGCGGAATAAGGTGGTGCTGTAAACCACCTTGGTCTTTCTGTCCTGGTACACCCGACGCACGGCTATGATGGGTAAATATTAGAACTGGATGTGCCATCTGATATGAGGATCATGCTTACGTTTGCTTTTGCCCTTTAGGCTGAGGAAAGGATCAGCTGTAGAGAATATGTCAGTAACGTCTACATTATAGCAATACAATGGAACTCCGGAAACCGATACCTATCCGACGTTTTTTGACCTCTTTGACCACCTTTGAGGACTTCGGCGTGGCCTTCTTTCTCGAGACTTCCTTCTTCTCGGGCTTCATCAGATTCTTCAGAAGATATGGCTCTTCAGGCTTTGGCCGGCGGGTGGCTGACAACAGCGAGTCTTCAAGCCAATCGTATGAGACGATCTTGACCGTGCTAGTCTTCTTAGCAGTCGCCACTATCGTTGGTTAGTTTCATGGTCGTAGAAATACTCAAGGGTAATAATATACCTGAAGCTGCATTGTTTTTGAACGCCTCCTTTGTGGCAATGAGATGGGTAACTCGCGAGTTCACATCTCTCGAAAACTGCCCTCCATTTGCTCTAATCCACTGTGGGATCTTTTCGCCGACGCCGTCTTCGAATTTGCCTACGATAGCGGCATGAATTCTTTGGAATGGCTTCCCCATTTTGGGCTCACGCTGAATGGTTTCAGAAGTAAATGTGGTATGCTGTCAGGAGGGAAGACTGAAATACTGCGAGTAATAGTTTTGTGAGCCAGAGCTTTCGCTTGGTCTTAGCTGGCTGTAGCAATATTTCAGAAATGAAGTGTGTATATTGCCTGAAGGTAAGTCTTCGAGATGGTGAATGAGAGGACTAGTTCGATGATTCCGGGGCTCGTATGACTTCTGCTGTCGACTGGGGTTTCCTTCAGAAGAGGAGGCACCTCAGAAATGAAATATGTTTATTACCAGGGAAAACGCTTCAAGGAAATAGTGTGATATATTTCATGAAGCTGTTGACTTGATCTGCTTTCGCAACGTTGATATGAATGCACCAAGCATGATCATTTCTGCAGGATGAAAGTGACGAGAAAGCAGAAATGGGACTTCGAAAGCAAGTTAAGATTGAGATCTACTTTAAGAAAGGATCAAAAACCATTCCTCTTGGTATATCAAGTGAGGTCTTTATCAAACAAGTGAAAGTAAGGTGAAGTAGAATGAAACCCGGAATAATTGTGCTTGCTATGAATAGGTATTGCTCATTATTATCGAATATGAAACCCCGAAATGGAATGAGAAAAGGAGTCATCCTGAGGAGCGTAAATGCATGTTCCTAGCCTGTTCATTGCCGAATGCTTTTAGCAGACTTGACGAAGGCTCGGATTTTCTCCAAATCTTGAGCCCCGTTTGTCTCTACACCTGAGCTGACATCTACTCCGACCACTTTCTGGCCGGACTGGCCCAGCTTTTTCACTGTGTCGACCACGTTGTCCGGGTTTAATCCACCGGCCAGGATTACCCTCAATCCTTCGTCACTATCGAGGACCTTTTTGACACCGGTCTCCTCCAGAAGTTCACCAGAGCCTCCGGCACCAGAATCGAGCAATGGAAGAGTGTGGTATGCGCGGCGAGCAATCCCAAGGTCACCAGGGGCAAATTTGCGGATGACAGGAACTGGAATCAAACTAGACCACTCCAATGGCTCAGATCCATGCAGTTGCACAACATCGAGATCCAACTTTTGTTGTTGAGAAAGGACATATGATAGTGGCTGGTTCATGAACACGCCCACGAGCAAAGCACGAGAAGGGTGACGCAAGATATTAGTAGAGTGATCGAACCATTCCAATGATGTCGCGTTTTTCGGCTGCTGTGATGTACCGTCCGGACGAGCGGTCGACTTGACCACCTGGGAAATGCGGAGGGCCACATCATCTGGGACAAGTCGTGAGCGGCCCTGAACCATGATAATGCCAATCAAATCCGCGCCAGCTTGGATAGCAGCCAGAGCTCCTTCTTCGGTCCGAGTCCCACAGATCTTCACCAATGGAGAACTTGGTGATGCATCGGCGATTGAATTGGAACCGCCGAGAAGCTGTGCCACAAAGGCAGAGGTATCGGGTGCCCTCATAAGAGCCTCTCCAACAAGAATGGCCTTAACACCATCTTTCTTATAAGCTTCCACATCCTGGGGTCCCAAGATCCCACTAAGGGGCACACACAATTGTGCTCTCAGGCACTTGATCCATTAGGCGACTGGTAGTTCCGAGATCGACCTCGAAGCTCGTCAGGTCTCGGTTGTTGACACCGATGACTTCAGAACCCAGGTCAACTGCAATCTTCATCTCTTCGGGGGTATTGACTTCGACCAGAGGCTCCATGCCGAGACTGCGCGAATAATGGTACAGTCTAGTCAACAGCTCAATGTCCAGCATCTTTACAATTAGTAGAACTGTATCAGCTCCAGCCAAACGGGCCTCCAGGATCTGATACTCGTCAAAGACGAATTCCTTTCGGAGGACGGCCGGTCGGTTAGTGAGTCCCTCCAGACTTTGGCGAACAGCCCGCAGGTCATCTATGGTGCCCTTGAACCACTCCGGCTCTGTGAGGACAGAGATGACGCTAGCGCCAGCCTTGGCGTACTCCCGTGCTTGGGCAGGAGCACACACATCGGCGGAGATGATGCCCTTTGAGGGCGACGCGCGCTTGATCTCGGCCATGAGTGAGAGAGGATAGTCTGATTGTCTTAGGCGCTCAGGGAATGACAGCTGAGGAGGCGCAATGTTCAGATCATATGCGGCTTGAAGAGCCTCTGGCCGCAGGGCCGGAATTTTCTTCTGCTCCTCAACAGCATTTTTGCGATGGGCGTAGATCTTGTCCAAAATGGATAATTTCTTGCCTGAAGGTGCAGCCACAGCTGCGGCCGCTCCCTGCTTGTTATCCCAGGTCCCAGCGGTGAGCTCCAAGAAGTTTCTGAACATCTTGCGCCCGTATTGCGTCAGAATACTCTCGGGGTGGAACTGAACACCCTCCACTGCGAACTCCTTGTGTCTAACACCCATAATGATGTTCTTGCCACTACCGTCCTCCAGCTCGACCCGCGAAGTCACTTCCAAGCAATCTGGGATAGTCGAATGTGTTCCAGCGAGCGAATGATACCGGGTGACCTCGAGCGAGGCTGGCAATCCCTGGTAGACGCCCTTGGAATCATGCTTCAACTCCGATGTTTTCCCGTGCAGAATCTCGCCGGTCACGTCCACCTTACCACCAAACGTGGTGATCATACATTGTTGGCCCATGCACACACCAAAGATCGGAATTTTTCCGCTGAAATATTTGATTGCGTCGTTACTGATTCCTGCATCGGTCTCGGGGTGGCCAGGGCCAGGACTGATAACTAGTTGAGTAGGCTTCTTTGCAACCAAGTCCTCAACAGTGACTTCGTCATTGCGGTAGACTGTGACGGTAGCACCTTCAAGAACAAGGTACTGGTAGACATTCCAGGTAAATGAGTCGTAGTTGTCGATCAGAATGACGTTGGACGCGCTGGCCAATTTGGCCGCTTTGGTGGCATGGTGGGGGGAGTGGTCAATAAGGTCCGCCATGACCACGGATTGTCGTAGGAGATCGGGGAGATTGAGAAAATAAAATAATCGCTATGCTGCCAGTGTCGGAATCTCACACACCATAAACCGAATCAAATATTTGCGAATTGCCTTTGTCGGACGGAAGTGAGTCAAAAAAGAATGCCGGGTTTCCATGTTGCCATTCACCGCCCGGCAATAAGATCAGATAGGCACCTGATTGTTGACCCAGTCGCGGTGAATAATATTCTTTTGAAGCTCCCTCTCAATTCAAGAGCTCCCCACGCTCGCCGTCTACCTTTTTTCTCGCTGTTCCGTCACCTTATACGGTGTCGCCTCGTTCCGCTCTTTCTTTCTATCCTATGATGATCTAATTGCCCAAAATGGCTCCCGTTCCGGAGGCCTATTTCCCGTCCCTGGACCAGTGCTTCTCCGGGGACGTTCAACTCTTGTATGTCCATCCTAATCACTTGTTGTCATAGAAGCCATATTCTAAGATATTGCAGGTCCTGGAAAAGAGCTTTTCTCTACGCCATTGATGCCGACAGTCATGCTGACGATGGAGGCAATATCGATGTCTTCTTTTCACACCCCGAATCCATTCGACTACTCTCTGACGGCGTGAAACCGTTCCCCTCCCCTTCCGCAAAATCAAAAACCGAGTTCGAATCCAAGACCGCCGCGATCCATGTCGAGACCAATGGCCAAATCTCTTTTGACCTGAAGGAGATCAAGGCGGATGCGCTATGGTTAAGCAAACAAGCCGGAATCGACGAGATCACTGCTCTTCGCATCGCTGTATTGGAATGGCAGAACCGCCCGGCAACGCGCCTCACAATCGGCTTTTCTAGCGAGGAAGCGACCAGTTTACAGAGCGCGGCTGGGACCGAGAATCTTCGAGGCTCTCTAGCCGGCCCCAACTTCGCTAACCTATTGAATCAAACAGCCAGAAATGACGGCGATCAGTCGTTCGAAAAAGAGGAGAAGAGACGTCTGCGAATCCGCGAAGTTTATCTCTCCGAGGCAACCCATGTAGTGAAAACACTCCGCAAGCTGCTTGCTCTGTCCCTACACGATGGTATTCAAGCCGACTCGACCTCCCCCGCCAGTTATGATCGCAAACTTGCTTTGCGGAAAATAGGAACCACAATCTTCCAAAGCAAGTCGACTGGTGATGGATTGAACCACTTTCTTCAAGAATGCATTAGCTCGATACGCAGTCGGTTAAAGAGTTTGGAAGGAGAAGGTGGCTGGCTCAGTGCCGCAGAAAGCAGCGAGGAACTAGAGAACATCTGGAGAACAAGTCTCGTGGAGGAGATTGTTCATATCGTGCAACTCATGTTCCACCAGCTTCAAGCCTCAGTGGAATTCCCAACTGCAGACCTCCTATTGTCCTGGCTACGGCTTATGGCTGATTATAGCTTCTTAGAGACAATTCAAGTTGTAAGTGGCCAGTGGACTGTTTTGAGCTCTCGCGATGTTAACGTTTTCTTATAGCCTTGTCAGCAACCAGTGGAAGTGTTGTTGCCTCTTCAAGCTTTCGTGTCACTTACCACATTGGCGTTTTTAAAACCCTCTCTCGCCATCTCTTCGATTCAGAGTGATTCACTCGTTGACCCCTCGCCACAGCCTTACTTCTGGTGCAAGGAGAAAATCTCTGAAATCAATGAGATCTTTCTTACTGCATGCGGTGATCTGAACACCGCGAATCCGGCAGCCTTTTCATGGGGTCTGATCTTGTATACCATCCAAGAGCTGGCAGAATACAAGAGAAACAAACGAGACCGTGATCTGAGCCATCATTCGGCTATCTCCTACAACGAGCAGACGCAGAATGCAGGATTATCTCGAGCATCTGAACTGTCATACTATGAAGAATTGCTTGACTGCGCCAGAACTCCGCAATGCACGGCTGAAGATGCTATACCAATTCTTACGTCTGATGTCCTCAAAGAATCGGCATTTAACACGGTTATTGCCCTGGCTAGTAAGACTGGGTCAATGTCAGCCGTCGATGATGGCCTGACAACCCGATGGGTGCGATTGTCACTTCTCGACCTTGTACGAGTTGGTGTAATGTTCTTGGATTACTCCCCGGAAATCGTGGGGTCGGCCTTGGCTATCTTAAGCAACGATGACAACGAACTGTCAAGAGACTCAAATTCTCTAGGGCCTGCCAGCGATCCTAAGTCTCTATTCGCCAAGGATCAGAAGTTGATGGATGGCATATTCCGCGTTGCACGGTCCCGTTTCCCTTATGAAACGGCACCATTTCTGCAGCTCTGTCGCGCTCTTGTCAGTGGGCACTCTCTGAATGAAGAAGGCTTGCCTGCTATTCTTGAGGAAGTGGAGAACATGAAGTCCTTTACACAGATTGTCTCACCAACTTTCCAGGGCTATGCCACCATTCGCGAGGACGAGAACGCCGATTTTGTATCCCTACTCCAACCCCTCCCAATGTTTGAAACGTCATCACAGAACCGTCTTTTCGAGAGGGAACCAAGCAATGCTATAATTGTCAGCGGTTCTTCCGAAATCCCACGGCAGACCGTTGGTCAAGTCATTTCCGATTCAAAACCCGCGGTCATCATGTGGGAGCATCGATACTCGTGCTTAAGCTTTCTAGGAAGCTGGCTTGAAGAATGGAGTGAGACCGGTGACTACTCGCCTGGGTGGACTGACGACACTGCCACTGAAATCATTGTTCTTTTGACAGACTTGATCGCCAACTCTAAGACACAGACTTCTGGCGATGCAAGTGGCAAGAGGATCCTAGAGATGGCCAGTGATGGGTTGTCTAAACAGGGTGACATCATCTCTGTAATCTTCGATATCTTTGAACGCAATTTGCAGACCATCGGCTCCCGAGGGGATCTAGGCAAGTCTTTGGACACAACCATAGCTTGCCTGCGCTTTATCAAGACACTTCTCAAGATCCTACCCAGTCGAGTATGGCCTTTCCTTGGTCGCAGCAGTCTCATTGGGTCCGACGGCAAGGGTGGTGTCATGACAGCAATCGTTTCTGCAATGGAAATTCCATCCGGCGAGTATCCGTTCCTCCTGAGCTGTGTCGACCTTGTGGACGCTGTCATCGATGATGCGGCATCTCGAGCAGTATTGCGAAAGAGCCCAGGCAGCGTGACAAACAAATCATCCATTGCGTCTGATTGGAGTGCCGGTATTCCGTCTCACGTCATGAGAACTATTATGTTGAACTTCACTCGTACCATGCTGGAGATTTTCAACAGCAGTGGAAACTGGAGGTTCAATTTACCAGAACAGCGCTTCAAGATCAACTCGATGCTTGCCACTTCGTTCGAACGTGTTCTGTACTATGCCTTTGGAATCAATGACAGCCCGAAACTAGAAACTAAGGTTACTGGCGTCTTCTCTACATCCGCAGCGTACATTTTGGATATGTTGCGCCCTCGGTCAACCGCTGACCTCCCCTTCAATCCAATTCTTCGGTTGATCGCCGAGGGTCTCCAGACTCCCCCAACACTCCACCTCAGATATCTCACCCTCTTCGAGAACCAGGTCAAATCTACACTGCGGCTCTGCGTCAAACTTGTGCAGGCAGCCCAACTGGCGGAACAACCTGGTTCGCTTCTGGAGGAACAATTGTTCAAGGCCAGCCCAGTTCTAGTCAAGCTCTACGCGCTGCATGATGCATACCGGTTGCCGGTTATCTCGCTTCTCGAAATCTTGATCTCCAGCGCAGCTTCAAATCCAGATAATGAACCTCCTTCCCTTGTTGGCCACCTTGGGGCAGAGTCGTCTTGTCTGTTCCTTGATGTACTGTCACAACTCGACAAGCCGATGTGTGATAGGCCTCTACTTCTTGCAGTATGGCAGCTCCTATCGACATTTGTTAGCAAGCGCCAGCAGTGGCTTGCAGTTTTCATTCTCACAGGATCATCCCCTCGCCAGACTCTGAAAAAGGAACCCGCCTCTGGTGGCCTCAGCATGAGGAGTGTGCCTTTCCTAAAAATGGCACTCGACAAGTTGTCTCACATTGATCAACAGGAGCCGCAAGTAGCCTTGGCGTTGCTCGAGTTCGTCTCTCGTGCGCAAGAAAATTGGCCATGGGCCACTTCCCATCTGAGCAAGCATCCTCAGTTCTTCACCAGCATAATTAACCACGTGTCCAAGTTGAAAATTTCTTCTCTGCCAGTGATGGATCAAATCTATGCCACGCGCATTGCAGCCGTTGTCGCGGACCTGTGCGCGGTCTACCTGCACTCTGCAAAGGAGGTGGGTGACCGAAGCTTTATCAAGACCTTGATTCCATTGGTGTCGTGGTATGCCAAGGATGCAGTTGAAGTTTCGGCTTACAACTCCTCATTGCATGCCAACTTGAAGAAGAACTTTGAGATGCGATACTCGGGCTGCAAGATCGTTGACTTCAAGAGGACACCGCTCGAGGTTCGTAGTCTGGGACGAGATTACTACTATGATTTGAGTATGGGAGGCAAGCTGCTGTCCTACGACTTTGCCTGGGCTGGCAGCAAGAACCGTGGCTTTGCCGAGGAGTTTGAGCGCGCCAACATCAATCTGTCTCTTGTCGAGGCGCAGGTGGTAAGTTTTCTTCCGTTCATCGCAAATGAGTTTATTTTCTAATCTGAAACAGAGCCTTCTCCATAGCTGGAAGTTCTTCGCTATCGAGCACTGTGCCGATTTCATGCCCGATACCGAAGTCCGGAAGTCGATGGCACTGGTCGCGCAAAGTTGCTTGAAGGCCAATATCAGCAGTGGCCCTCCTGAAGCCATCTTTGACCGAATCCAACAAACGCGCGTTGATTTCGCCCAGGCACTTCTCCAACGACTTGTCGAGGTACACGCTAGAGGCGCCGAAGTCTTCCAGCTGCTCGAGATTACGTGGACGGCACTGCGAGCCCGGCATCTGACATACGAAGACGCTTTGATCAATGACGATACTGATTACTTCCGGTCCCTCCTGAACGTGCTATTCCTTTCCCTTCAGTTCCACTTGGATGGCCCCTCTCGGAGTGCCCCCGAAGCTATCAATAAGAAGGCAGAGGTTTCTTCGGATCTGACTGTCATCGTGGAGGTCGTGAAAACAGTGGTAGCCCAGGGCTTCAAATCTCTCACCACTTATCTCCATGACGCGCCGGAGAAATGTGCACCGAAAGATTTCGCCATTATCATTGCTATTCTGCAGACAGCCTTGCAAGTGAAGAACGCCGATCGTCTCTATGAGCATATCGTGTACCATATTGAGGAAAACGACACCGCTCGTCACGCGACGACGCTCTTCTCCTGGGCCGACCAATTAGCCGTGGCAGGTGACCCTGTGTACGCAGAGCTCAGCATCTCGATTCTGGTCAAGATGTCAAGCCTGCCCATGCTTGCAGAGCACCTTGCTGTTGAGGCTGTCTTGATGAAATTGTCTACCTGCCGTCTTACAAACATTCTCACCCAAAAGAAAGCATTCGGCGCCTTTGACCCTGTTCCTCGACTGTACGCCATCTGGACCGGAGGATTCCTTCCTCTGTGCCTGAACCTGCTCTACAGTGTCATGCGGACCGCGCCCGAAGTGGCAGCGTTCATCAACCAATTTGAGTCCCGTCTGACCCGCGCGACAGAGGCATTCGCCAGCCACACGGCCGTTTCCTCCGTCCCGACATCCAAGTGGATCAGCCTCGGCATGGTCTCGGAAGCCTACTCGCTCGCCCTGATCTCGTTCATCCTGGACCGGTTCCGTGAAGCGGGTGCCAGTGCCGGCGTTGATGCACAGGCCATCCAAGATCTCAAATGGGATCGGGTTCAGGTCAAGGAAGATATTGAGGAGCTGCTCAGTCGCCGCGCTGCTCTGCGTGTGCGCATTGTTGCGACCAATGAGAAGGAGGTGGAATGGTCCCGACAAAAGCCTCTTGATCCGACTTCCGGGGCCGAGAATCGACTGGAGGAGAAGATGGTTAGTGAGATGAAGGCAGCAGTTACCTGTTTAGGTGGTGAGGATTCATGAATGTGCTCTTTATAGCCTTTTTGCTGTTTCACTTTTTTTTTTCGTGTATTATGGGTTGGTCGGGGTGTAGTAGATGAATTATTTCATGGAGCTCAAGTTTCAAAACATTTTCATTTTCAGTTCAAGGATCTTATTGGGGTATATCCAACTTCAAGTTGAGACCATAAAGTCCAAATCAGTTAATAGCCTATATGCATCAGCCCAGTAGCACTCTACTCGATTGAAAGACCGAGGCTTCGGCTTAATTTCCCCGCAAAAACCACACTTTCCAAGGTATAACCGATGCGGGGAGATGGAATTATGAAGGGAAATTATGCATTAGACAATATACTCTTAAACCTATAAGTCTGTTCCTAGTCCTATTCTCCTATATTGATATTGAAACATTACCCGTTATATTCCCAACATGCCGTATAAATCTCGCTGGACAATCGATATCCCAGACACTCATTTAGCTACTCTTCTCCTCAAATCTCCCACGGCATCTCTCTCCCAAACACAAAAGTGCTACCTAGAAGCAGCCCGCCCAGAAACCCACTACCTCACCCCCCATGATCTCCGCCTCTGGAGCCAGCGGCTCGCCGCCGGCCTACGCAAATCCGGACTACAGACAGGAGACCGCGTCCTCCTCTTCTCGGGCAATGATATCTTCTTCCCAGTAGTCTTCATGGGCGTGATAATGGCCGGAGGAATCTTCACCGGCGCAAATCCCACCTACGTAGCCCGCGAACTAGCCTACCAACTCCAAGACAGCGGCGCCACATACCTCCTCTGTGCAAGCAACAGTCTAGAAACAGGTCTAGAAGCAGCCAAACAAGCCAACCTACCACAAAACCGCATCTTCGCCTTCGACAACTCCATCTACGACGGCATCCCGAACCCGCAAAAAGGCTGCGCATACTGGAGCGACCTCCTCGCTTCAGAAGAAGAAGGTCACGCTTTCATCTGGGACGATCTAAACACACCAACCCTCTCGTCCCGAACACTGGCACTCAATTACTCCAGCGGCACAACCGGCCGCCCCAAAGGCGTGGAGATCTCGCACAAGAACTATGTCGCCAATATGCTCCAGTATTGCCACACCGCAAGTCTTCACCTGGACTACAAGGCCCGTCTCGAGCGTTCCAGATGGCTATGCTTCCTGCCGATGTATCACGCAATGGCGCAGAATATCTTCATCGCGGCTGCGCTATACCGTGCGACGCCGGTGTACATCATGCCCAAGTTTGATTTTATCAAGCTGCTGGAGTATACGCAGAAATTCCGGATTACGGATTTTATTCTCGTCCCGCCTGTTGTTGTTGCATTGGCGAAACATCCTGCTGTTAGGAATTATGATTTGAGTAGTGTGGAGTCGGTTGGGAGTGGTGCTGCGCCGTTGGGGAGGGAGGTTTGTGAGGAGGTTGAGAAGTTGTGGCCTCCTGGGAAGATTAATATTAAACAAGGATGGGGGATGACTGAGTGAGTTGTTTTGATGCTTTTTTTTTTTTCTTTTTTTCTTCTAAGCTATTTATTGTTTGGAAACTAAACCCATCTGCTTCTTTCTAGGGCGACTTGCTCTGTTACAGGATGGGTTCCTACCGAAATCAGTACTTCTGCGTCTGTCGGTGAGCTCAATGCCAATTGCGAAGCGAAGATCATGTTCGATGGAACAGAAGTGACGGAGAGGAATTCTCGTGGCGAGCTGTGGGTTCGAGCTCCTAATGTTATGAAAGGCTACTGGCATAATGAAAAGGCCACTAAAGAAACCAAAACTGAGGATGGCTGGCTGCTCACGGGTGATATTGCGTTTGTGGATGATTATGGTAAATTCCATGTTGTGGATCGAATGAAGGTATTTATTTTCAGAAAAGCAGAAAAGCAGAAAAAGAAAAAGAAACTAATATAAACAGGAATTAATCAAAGTCAAGGGTAATCAAGTGGCACCCGCCGAATTGGAGGCTCTTCTACTTGAACATCCGGCAATCTCAGATGTTGCAGTGATTGGAGTTATCAGGTTAGTAGGAATGTTTTATTTCTATTTCTATTTCTTTTTTTTTTTCTAACTCAGATTAGCAACAACGATGAACGACCTCGCGCATATGTGGTGCTTACACCGGGTCAATCCGCCACCGCAAAGGAGATCGCGCATTTCATCGACAACAAGGTCTCCGCGTTCAAGCGGATTACCGGCGGAGTTGTATTCCTCGATGCCATACCGAAGAATCCTTCGGGCAAGATTCTTCGTGCAAAATTGCGTGAACAAGCCAAAGAGGAGCTGAATGTCACCGCTAAACTCTAGGATTTATTTACATTTTTATATATATTGGCTTTTTTTTTCTTTTTCTTTTCTTTTCTGGGAATCTAGTAAATCGGTAACAATATATAACCAGATCGCTTATTTTTTGGGGGGTTTTGTTTCTCTAATTTGCAGGCTTATGCACCCGAGCCAGTGAAGGCGATCGGTCGATCCACCTCAGATTGATCTGGACAGACCTAAGAGGTAACTGTTTACATTCGTGTAGCCCACTATAATAGCCGAGAAAGGAATCTTGCAGTGTGATTCGATGCATGAAAGTGCTTAGCGCGGGGGACCCATGCAGGCGCGAGCTGAATGCCATCAACCTCACGGAGTTATGTACGGAGTACATTTGTCATGATCGACACATGTTTTCTCATATGGATCATACTCCGTATTGATTTGGGTTTAATTCTCAATACGTTTATCCTCCGTAGAGACATATGGTGTTAAACAAAGAAAATGGTAAGTGGCGTGTAGGAGGCAAGCTGAGTGGAGAGAGGGCTGGCTGGCCTTATTTATCCACTTTATACTTGGAGGCAAAAGACAGTATTTTGTATTTTGTTTTGGCTTTTTCGATCTATCAAGTAATTCTAATTCGCCTCTTCAGATCCCGGTTGTCGGGCTCTCTATTTTTTTTCTATTTTTTTTTTTCCATGTACGCCGTACGCCAGCCCTATCTTGCAGACACATCCCGCCATGCTTCGATCTTCGATCACCCCCCCCCATAGCCTATTTAGAATCTATTTCGATCTCTAGCTCTTATATATAAAGTAAAAAAGCCCCCTGCACACCGTCCCACTAGTTCCTTCCGCTCGCCTCCCCGCCAAGTCCGCTTATAGTCTCGATTCAATACTGGTATCCGTGACTTGGTAAAATCCTTCGAGGTCTGGCCTGGATTTACTTCCCCACACGCGCAGTCTTAAGTTGAGCTGTTTCCCCCTTTCGACAGGGGTGACAGTTTCAACATATTCTTCGCGAGTGGTGGACGTTATCCAACCCAAAATCCCGTCATGAACACTGTCGAACAAGGATACAACCATCTGTCGTGTGAACTCCTGTCAGCTACCAAGCTTGTTTTGCCAGTGGCCAGCCTGATCGGCTTTTCTCTTCTCAGCCTCATCATCATCCGATATATCAAATATCGTCGGAGACAAACATACATCCCTATTTCTGAATTCAAACAAGAGCAAGACTTCTGGCTCCAGTCTATCAACATGGAAAAAGGAAATCTCGTCTCACCGGGCTTTCTCTCTCCATCTGCATGCGATATCCTACAACCTTTATCGCATACAAGCCTCCTCCCAAGCAGTGGAACTCTCGCTGCACAGGCCAGAGAACAGCAAAGCGAGAGATCCGTCATCGAAGCAAGTAGTCCTCCATCTTCACCTGGTGCAGGCGAGGAAGTGCAAAAACGCAATGAATCGATCCAGCAAATGAGTGATGAGGATGCCGAGGGAGGGCGGACTTGGAAGCGAGTTGTTGTTGAATACAGCTAGCTGGCCGCTTGTTCCATTCAATGGACTTGGGGGTAGTCTTCTTCTTTCTTAATGCATTTCAGACTGGGGCTCTGTGATACTGAGATCTTTGTTTTCCTTGCTGTTTGTTATGCCTTTGATTACGCCTTTCTTTCTTATTCCCTTCCCTATGGGCGCCTTTACTATTTCACGAATAATGTCTTTCCTTAGAAAAGTGTGGGCTTGGATTGTCTCTTTCGGTCAAGCATTGCTTTGGGTGGCAGATATCTTTATTTTGCTAAGCACATGTTTAGTAATATATATGAATACGACAAGTATTATGTTTACGGTATCTTCATGAAAATAGATTGAAGCAAGACAGTTATTTGCCTTTGTAGTTTAAGAATATCTTCAGGATCCTTGACTGTATTAAAATGTTTGGATTTTTCATGATCAAATGGTTATAAATCACAAGTGAACGCCATTGCAAACGAGACCGTTTTGTCGAGACCGGTCATCCTGCAGGCTCGAAACCTTCTGCAGAAAGCCCGAGTAAGGACTAATGATTAAGCTATTATCCCGTTGGAGAGACCTGCATGGCCCCGCTGACTTCCCATAAAATATACACTGGTAGAATCTTGATCCAGCCTGGGTCCTGGCCTTGATAAAACTGGCTCAAATGTCGATGGTACGCTCAGTGAAGAACCACGGGAGTGCTCAAACAAACTATTAAGTGCGGTACAGCTTGGGTTCGGCACCAGGTGAAGCAATGCGTTGTTGAAGTGTGATGATTGGTGAAGTAACTCTTCGATTCTTTTTCCTTGTCGCATGCCGTCTTGTTCGATGCGATCGGTGGCGGACCTGGAATGTATTAGCGACAAGATACCCAAAGAGAGATTACATATAGGATGTACCATATGAGGGTATTCAAGAGAAGATTGATCGCATTAAGATGCGACTCGAGCTTTCGTCGGTATTGAGTCAAGGACTCGCCTCTGAGGTCCCACATAATCCGTCGCCATTGTGTTCTGACTTGAGTAGTCAATTGTTGGGAATTCAAGAGATTGAATTTATGTCCATCATGTAACAACGAAGGCGTGGTCACTGTTGCTCGGTACTTGTCTGTGGCCGATTCAAGATGTCCTAGGGTTTGGAGGCACGAGCGGATCATAAACCCTAATTGTTGAGCAACCTCGGCAGCATCATCCGGAGTATCGGAGTTTCTTGACAAGATAGTTATTGAAGCTCTTTGCAACTGAGCCAAAGAGCAATTCAAGCTGAACAAGAGACCTTCGAGCTCTCGTAGATCGCGTGGTGCATACTTCCGGCCGGTGGTTGCAGCAGTGAATAGTCGATAGGTGATTTGGCTGCAGAGTATAATGTCTCCAACTGAGAAACCGAATGACATTCTATCTGCTAAGTCTGGAGAAAGAAGCGAGAAAGGAAGAAATAAGGTAATTATAAGCAAACAAGTAAATAAATATTAGAAACAGTAGTATAAATAGGAAAGGTAGTATGGTATAATCTAGATATCAGATTGAATGTTATTTAAGATGGGGTTTCCATGGTTTTCTTAACGCTCAGATGTCGCAGAGGAGTTTGGAGGCATTCACCTAATATACCAGCAGAGAATAATGGCCAATGTGCAACTTAACGTTTCCCCATAGTCATACTGCAGGCAAAATCTAAAGTGACATACTGGCCGTTATTACCTTTCGTACTCGTGCCCGTGCTTGGAAGTACGTACCAATCATGAACACTAAACCCGCTGATGAGGGCATTCGATATTCAGATCCCAGCCGACACAGCCACGCAGCCACAAACAAGGGGTTAATTCTCGGGGTCTACCAATCCTCCAATATTTTCTCCCTGATCTTTCGCGCTCTGTTTGTGTATCCAACCATCGATGCATATGAGCCCGCTATCTTCTCACATTTGTTCTATTCATTCCATAGATACCCTTCAATGTATCTCATCCGGCCGGCTTCATTTGCCACAAGAAATCCTTTGATTCGAACCATGTCATCACTTTCTCCTGGGAATATCCTTCAAGGCGCCGATTGGAACTACCGCATTCTCGACCTCGTTAAGGGAGATAATACGCACATCTCCACTGTCTTTAAAGCCGAGATAATTCCCCATGAGTATCCTCGTAGCGCCCTGAAAGCCCCCCAATGGTTCGTTATACATATTATCTAATCAGTATCTAAATAATGTCCCGATTCCAAGGCTGACTTTGCCACATAGGGCTTTCATCAAAAGAGCTTTAAATAGCGATGCAATTGCTGTGAAGAATATGGATCGCGAAATTCAGGCCTATAGCCTTCCTGGGGTTGCTTCTTCTCAATTATTCCGAAAACTATATGATGTGGTCGACGACAGAACTATCGCCCTGGAGTGGCTGGATACCACTCTTGCAGAGTTGAGATACCAGACTAGCCATATAGGCACCCTTTCGCTTATTACTTCTGTCCTAAGAGCGGCGCTAACTAGTTGTGTCATTCTGGAGGGTTCTAAATATGTGAATACAGGTAAAGCACCTATTCATAACCTTAGAACCTATAGTTAGCATTTACTAACTACATACTATAGACTTTAAACCCGCTAATATTCTACTTTGTAGCATCGGGTCTGATTGTATCACCGCTAAAGTGGGAGACCTAGGACTAGGTAAGCAAATATTGACAGACGAGATATACTTTAACTAATATAACACACCCATAGTGGTTCCCGTTGGCGAGCTGATTAACGCCCAGCCATACGCCATGCGAGCACCAGAAGTCTTCCTTGGTCAAGCATGTGCAGAGCCATCACAGGTCTGGGCAGTTGCCGCGATGTTGCTTTGCTGGATCAAACCTGGTGTGTTAGGCATGTGGGGTAGCACTCATCCTCTTCTTAATGTGCCTTGGTCTATGGCAAAGGTCAAGCGGCTCTTCCCCGACTGGAATATTCCGATTGCTGATGAGGTTGATGGCCATTTCCTTAAAGCCTGCGTAAATATTGCCAAAACTCTCAGTGAAACTAAGCCAGAGCTACAAGCAATCTTACCTTTCGACGAGGAGATAAAAACGGTAGAGATGCCGGACCAGTTGAGGGATCTGTTTCGTTTCATGCTGATACATGATCCGGTGAAGAGGCCATCGGCTTCATCTGTGCTAAAATCGAGGGAGCTACGAGCTTTTGAGAATCTTACGGGCGCATAATTCAATCAAGTTAGAGACCGGGTTCTTTTGATAGTTGTATGGAGTCGATGTAGTTAAACTCAAGATCCACCCGTCCCCACCTGGAACCGGGCCTGATGCTGAGTCATCTCGAAAGCGCCCTCTACATCAACGCCACATATTCAACCTGCAGCTACCGCACTTCTCTGATCCCAAGTCGCAGTCATGACGGTAACCGCATTCCCCTCTGAGGGCTCTCCAGATCTCGCTCTTCTCAATGTCGCCCGCCTGTTTACCAGACTTGAGCACAATTTCCTCTCCCCGGGGACAGACCGGCGCTCATTCCAACAATCAGAATACCAGCGTATGCGCGTGAAGAAGGTAAGCAATTACTCCACCCTCCCAAGTCTTTAATTGCAAGGGAAATACTTTCAAAGGAAAAATATATCAGAATCTCAATCTGACCAAAGCTCCAGAACGTCGAATACGCCCGCTCACTCCTCACCCAACTCGAGCGCTCCCTCCCACAAATCAAACCCCTCGACCGCAAACACGAAGCCCAAGCCGAGATCGCGCGCGACAAACAGCTCTTAAAGCGCATACAGATCATTCTCGAGGAAGAAGACGCCAAAGCCGAAGCGAATCAAGATGAAGACGACGAGACCGATGACGATGACGAATGGAAGGAGCTATTCTCAAAGCCCGTCGTCGAGAAATCTACCGCGCCGGTATCCCAACCGAAAGAGCAAGCACAAACAAACCCATCAGATTCGCAACGAGAAGTAAAGGGAACGAGCGAAGCGCAACAAATCACGACTCCATCCGCAACAGCATCTACAAAAACCCAAACACCAACACCCTCATCAACAAGCCAACCAACACCCCCAACCCTCCGCAACCGCCACAAAATCCCCGCACAGCCCACCGAAAAGGCAGCTGCGACTGGAACCAATACGACCAAGCTCGCTGAAACCGAAACTGAACTGAGTACCCACAGAATGGAACAGGAAGATTTAACCAGCTCTCTTCTAACGCTTGCTTCGCAATTGAAATCCTCATCCCAGAGTTTCCAGTCGACGCTGGAGGGCGAGAAGTCTGCTTTGGATCGTGCGGTGTCGGGTATCGACCGTACGAGTACAACGATGGAGGCTGCGGGCAAGAGGATGGGGATGTTGCGCAAGATGACGGAGGGGAAGGGGCTGTGGGGGCGGATGATGTTGTATGCGTGGATTTTCGGACTATGGGTTGTTGCTATTCTGATTGTTTATGTTGGGCCGAAGTTGAGGTTTTGAGGTGTGATTTGCCGATGCCTTGAGACTTTTTCTGCGGTAGTTTGATCATCTTTATGCGTCAATACCCTTATTTCGCTCTGCATAGATTAACTGTCTATACCTGTCTACATAATCATAACGCGATTGTCGATATCTACAACTTGGAGAGAATACGAATATAAGGATACGAATCGAAGGCTGTATAGAAACAGGGTGGAATTAAGAGTCAGAACCTTAAGAGTCAATGAACTCTGAAATAACCCAACGACCGGCCTGGCATGACACATGAGAAGGAAACATTCAAATCCGCGGATCCTGCCATTTCCCCGTGCCCGATGCCCGGATGGACGCTCTTGGCTTCCAACGGACGCAAGACCAAGGAAAATGATGGGGAAGATATGGTTACATACATAAACAAGAAATGGGGGAGAGAGATGATAGGATATCCAGCATTCAAATCAGGGTTGAAAAAAAAGAAAGGAAATAGGAAAGAGAAAAAAAGAAGGGAGACACTTGTTTTCTGTCGTGGATATCAGGAGTGACAATAGAAAACACAAAAACCGGCTAGAGATCGTGTCAAGGGCGGGGGGAAATTAGAACTGAGAATAAGAAAAGGAAACGCAAAAGAGAATCAACGCCGGAATCTTGAAACGAGGCTTTTTTTGACCGGATACGATCAGCCCCGGTTAATAAAAACATGCGATCTAGGTTCGACACACTTCCAATAGGTTCATTAGATCAAACCGCAGAGACGAAGGTTCTCTTGGATGATGATATCTGTGAAACGTTAGTCAAATGTTGTGCAATCAAGTTGGGCTGAGCTTACCGTTCACTGCTGCCATGACGAAACGAATCTGACTAGTGTCAGTAGCGCAGGTGAAGTGAGTATAGATCTGCTTTTGCTCGGCCTGGTTCAGGGAAACGAAACGGTTGAGGATGTAGTCGCAAGCTGCGGCGTAGTCGGCACCGCCCTCGTAATCGGGGAAGTAGTTCTTCATCGGGCTAACGGGGAGCTTCTCCTTGAAACGATCGATCTTGTTGAGGAAGAGAATGATGGAGGTCTTGACGAACCACCGGGAGTTGCAGATGGAGTCGAACAGGGTCAAAGCTTCTTGCATACGGTTGACGGTCTCATCCTCGAAGAGAAGCTGGTCGTACTCGGAGATGGCGACGAGGAACAGAATGGTGGTGACGTTCTCGAAGCAGTGAATCCACTTCTTACGCTCGGATCGCTGGCCACCAACGTCGAACATACGGTATGTGAGGTCACCAATAATGAATGTGGTCTCGGTGATACCGGTGGTCTTGACACGGGAACGGAGGACATCCTGGTCGGTGGGGAGGTAGTCGGGTTGAGCAATACGCTCAATGGAATCGAAGTAGCTAAGAAAGAACGAGTTAGCCATGTCGCAATGCGACAGACAAGCGGTTACTACTCACTATTTGGCAGAGTCGTTCAGCTGGTATTCGCGTGAGCGCTTGAAGCACTCCTGAACACCAGTGTCGCGCCAAAGTTGGCCAATGGCGTTTCCAACCTCCGGGGGAATGCTGTCACCCTCGATCTGAGCAGGCTGCATGAAGATGGTCTGCACGTGGTACTCATGGCGTGCATCCTCGAGGGGGAGCTCGAGGGACTCCATGGCCTCGAGAATGACCCGCATCGACTGGACGGTGTTGCTGTAGATGATTTCCTTGAATGATTCACGCTCGTCGCGGGAGTATCCACCCTCGTGGATAAGCTTCATCTGCTTGAGAATCGTGGACTTGCCCGACTCTCCGGCTCCTGTGTTTCAAGTCAGCCATCTGCCCATATTCCCATCAGGGGTCAAGGGATCATACCGAGGAGCAACATCTTGATCTCGTTTCTTTGCATCATTTTGTCGCGCTTGAGCTGGTTCTCAATCTCCTCGTTCCGCGCCTTCCCCTCCTTATCTTCGGTGCTCATTCCGCAACCCATTTTGACGGTATGAAGTCGCAGTCAACGGTGTGAAAGTGGATGAGAAAAGGTTCGTTGTAGGGATATCGGGTTTGTTACAGGGGCTGTCCACGTCCGTTCAACTGTCAGCAAGCTAGAATAATTTCATCCGAGGGAAATATCGCATTGATCTCGAGGGGGGCGTTGCGTGGTACAAGCACCGCCGAGCAGAAGCAGACAGCGTTTCAGAGTTGGTGTAAGCATCCCGACGCAAGGAGTCGAAACCAAATTTACCATCGCAAGCCAATTGACAAGATCAAAGGGAATAAAGAAGGGTACCCACCTGAACGTGCTGCAAAAATGAAGCAGCAAAAGGGTATAAATGAAAGAAAACGAAAAGAAAGGAATCAGAAGAATTCGAATCGAATCCAATCTGGAGAAGAGAGAGAATAAAAAGTTGACAAGGTAAGGGGCAAGAGGGGGGAAATTGGGAAAGTTTCAGAGAAAGGGGATACACTGCAATTACAGATTATTAGGGGGAAAAGTACTGCCTGAGTATATGTTATGTGTAAATTACAAAATGATACAGTCCAATACCCGGAGTCAGCTGATTGGGCGGTGTGGAGACTCGGGGACTAGGGGCCCCTTCAGCCCCCTTTTGCTTTTGCTTTTGTGATTGTACGGAGTATTCTATATTTCTATTCTCAGATATCTACATATGCAGAAACAGTTCTATGGAACATTCTCACATTCTCCATCTAGTGTACAGAATAAAGTATACCATGTATGTAAACATACGGAATCCTGGAGGCGTGCAGATCGTGTGGAGAGGAAAATTAGCATATCAAACTACAAAGCGAATCACATTTGGAGATGCAATGCTGGAAATAACACCCAATGTTAAGAGGCAATTCGGTTCTTCGATAGGTCTAGGGAACCCCTGACACCTGAGTACAACTTGCAACATGTATATTGTACTACCATATTCTATACTCCGTACCCACACGGTCACTCCATATAGTCTGACATCTAATCTCATCTCAGCAGGATCTCGCCTCAGACGATTTCAGTCTGAGGGAAACAAAGAAACAAAGCCAAAGGCCAGTGCTCTTGCCCAATCAGACTAGTCTACGCCTCCTCATATGCATCCATTTCCAGTTCTTTGAGATTTCCTTGAAACTTCTTTGAAGTACAATAGTACGGAGACCCCAACAGGTATCCAACAGTCTGCACATCCGTGGATCCTCCGTTTTATCTTCAGTGGAGCCCACAATCCACCTAAGCGACGATTCGAGAATGGCGAGACACTGACTGTCACACCTTCAACGTTAGTAGTTGATCCTTCCACCAATGGATTCAAGAAGACTACTCTAATATGATTGAAAAGGAGGTCAGTCAGCAGGCAATCCTGAAACCGATGTCAAAATCGGCTAAAAAAAAAAGTGAAAGGGGGATTTCCTCTTTTCCAATCGCCTTCCATGGTTCTTCCCAAAGTTCTGCACTAGATGACCCACTAGCTAGTGCTTCTAACCGTTTTCTGCCGCCATTTTGCCGCTATTTTGTGGTAGGAGTTGATATTGGACTCCACTTATTTCCTCGTGGCAATGGAGACTATCGAAGTCCGCGTCTAAAACTGAACTCTGAATTCCGAGGTTTCCCTGGGTCACCGGCTGAGCTTATTAGTAATACAATGTATTATATATTACCATCTCATACAAGAATAAATTACATTGATTTGTTGTTAACTGTGCATGTAGATCATTGCCAAGGGCCTTTTTCCTGCTATCTTGCGCCGTAGGACCCTTAAAACCACAACCCGCGCCACAAAGCACCTCCACTACGCCACTCAGAACCCCAAATACTTCAACCTCTCTACATCCCTCTAAATACTTGCAACCAGAATACATAAGAATGAACATTGACCCGTCCTCTACGCTCACTCCTAGACTTCGACTATTCACAGTCCCCAAACCCCCACGCAGCACCCGACATGCCAGTGTATGACCATGAGCGATGCCCTGCGACCAAGTGATGCTGAATTTAGCGAGGTCCTCCAGCAAAGTCTCAAGATATGGACTTCCTATCTAGGTGCTGGGAACAAACAACACCTAATCCCCCGGCAAGCCATAAATATGAGACCTCTCGTTATCCAGACTCCGCCTTTCCTCGGTGATGGCCTTGCTTCCTTCGACAAGACAATCTCGTTCGCTTGCGAGGAAAAGGAATCCCAAGGTAGTCTTCTCGTCAATGGCAGATCAACGTGGAGGACCTCTAAAGGGACCTTCGGCATGGGCCCAAACAGCACAGACATTCTTGACCTCTAGAATGGGGACTAGTAATGGTGAATCAATACGCCACGACGACGAATGCCGGTTATCATTCATTACTGCCTGCGAAGGCCATGAGCAACCTCCAGTCTGGCCTTAGAGGCATTTTAGGGGCACGCAACTTTCCGACACAGATCTGACGGTCCGACAGCATATTCGATGTGGTCATTGTCTAGAATACGAGTCTTAGGAATGGATGTTGGCAAATAATGATTCAATCCAGGATTTGGCAACAGATAACAGCGAGATCCCTATCCAAATACCGTATTCCACGCCCAACATAGCACCCGGCGGCACTTAGCGATTATAAGTATGATTTCTCCTGGCAAATGCTCTCGGAAGGAGCAACCCGCGGGATATTTGAATGGTCAAGATCGACGGGTTACCCTCTCGCCGAAAAACCCATATACCAACATTCATGGATCGATTTGGAAGACACCAACGAAGAAGAAGAGCCCGATGATACAGAATCAGGAGTGGAAAGGCACTGGAGTCCAAAGAAAAAGCAGGTTAAAAGCTGGCTTAACGGAATCGAATAGCCCTTATGAAACACGTCAGACCATGAGGCCATTCCATTCACTAAAGCCATCTGGGCCACCAGCTGGATGATCGTGACATTTGGGACAGATGGCATATGACTACTACAACTCCTGATATATTTCTCTAGGCCGGTGACAAAAAGAAGAAGAAAATAGAAAAGTTAAAAAGGGTTTTTAATTGGACAGCTAACCGCCGAGTCCTACTAGGCACGTATGTATCCTGATACTTTAAGAATCCACTACTATGTACATATGTTATATACCTAGTAGGAGCTCCAGCTAATATCATGACACTAAGACGCTCTGCCTTTCCCGTCCCTGCTCGACAAAGTCATCACAGCAAAGCGTAAGTTTGAAACTGTGTCCGCTTTCATTTATCTTTAGACAGTCTGAGAAGTTGCTTTAGTTGATGATCCTCTCGATAGCGTTCTAAGGCGTGCCCTTTCCAGGTTTCACAATTTGAATCCCCGTCGATGCCCAATATCTTGGGTAGACCGACAAAGAGCCCAATGAATCCATCCCAGTCGTTAAGGTCATATCCACAACAAAATTGGAATCGATGAAGAAGCCGCCCATTTCTGACTATCTCCCTAAGATCTGGATGTCCTTTCTCTTCTAAGCACTCGGCAAAATAAACTTCATCTTTTCCAATATAATTAGCCCCCTCGTAAAAATCGGCAACCGGAAGAAGCCGAATGGGCGAATTGAAAGCTGCTGATTTTGAATCTGTCTGTGCCCATTCCCAGTCAATAATTCCTGTTATGTTGAAATCATTATCAACGAGTATCTGATATACTGGTATATTAATATACATACTCATACATATATACACAGTTCTTTCGAACCTTATGACTCCCAATGGGGTGAGAATCTTGGTTCCATCGATCGGTACCTTGGAAATAACATTGAAAGACCCACGGAATCGATCGATCTGATTTTTCGGGTGTTCTCCACCTTAAGAAGGTACCCTTCCCTCCCCCCCGGGCTTCTAATCATCATCACAAACATGTCACACGAAATGTCCCACATGGGCCCTCGGGGTATGTAAATGCCTCAATCATTCTTTATAATTGCAATCGCTAATAACACCAGCCTTCAACCACGACAACAGCAGCGACGCAGAGGCGGAGTACGATCGGCTCCGCGACCTCGCGCGCCAGGAAGCCTCCAAGCGCGGACAATGTTTCGGCCGGGTATGCAACCCCCCGAATTCCACTCGATTATCTCAATCGCAATCGCATTTCTGGTCCCATCAGCGCTAACACTCCAACCAGTCGAAGGAAGCCTACTCCAGCGGCGATGGCGCCGGCGCTAAACAACTCTCCGAGGAGGGAAAGGCCCACGGCCGCAAGATGGAGGAATATAACAGACAAGCGTCTGAGTTCATATTCCGCGAGAACAATGCAGATGGGCGCGTCGAGGCCGATACTATCGATCTGCACGGACAGTTTGTCGAGGAGGCTGAGGAGATCCTGGAAGAACGGATCAAGTATGCCAAGTCGCATGGACAGAATCACCTTCATGTGTAAGTGGCCAACAGAACAAGCCCCAGGGAATGTGAATATGTGCGCTGGAATTCACGCGACTAATACCGCTTCGCGATATAGTATCGTCGGCAAAGGAAACCACTCCGCGAACCATATTCAGAAAATCAAGCCGCGCGTCGAGCAGGTGTGCCGTGAATTGGGGCTCCAGTATGCCACCGAGGATAACGCTGGTCGCATCTACGTCAACCTGACTGGTGGTGAGGCTGTCATGCCTCCATACAACGGTCACCAGGGCGGCTCGTCTGGGTACCCTGGTCACCAACAGGGACACCAGCAGCAAGGACAGCAACAGCCGGACGAACTCGAGGAGTTTGCCAAGAAGATGCTGCCCAAGGTTCTGCGCAAGCTCGAGAAGGCTTGCTGCGTGGTTATGTGAGCTTATATCTTTGGTGTTTGGGACATACATATATGTACACATAGACGCATTGCGTTTGTGGACATGTTTGATGTTGGTGAGATTTTGCGCTTTTGGTTTCTCGTTTCTAGATCATCTACCATCTACATAAGTAGAGCTCAAGTCTAGCTTCAGCCTCGACACGACTCATGATGGCAGGGATGTGGTTATACCCTTATATGAACATGGACATTGTTCTTAATGAAACTACCATTTACTTTCGTGCTGTTGAGTACAACTCTTTCAACATTTTACACTCTCAAAACCATATAAACATAAATCATATCATCGTGAACGCTCGTAGCTACATAGCCAAGTGTGAAAACAAGATAACTGGGACTGGGTATATCCAACAAAGACTCGACCTCCACAAATTCATGTCAAAATGACAAAAAAGAACAAAGAAACAACTAGCGCGCATTTGGATCGGACAGTGTCGACTCCACAATCTTTTCCACAATAGCACGCACCATCTGCCCATCACCAGCTCCATTAATCTTCGGTGTGGCATCAATCACCTCAATCAACGCGAACGCCTGGTCGCGCAGATCCGCGACCACCCGACTGGTATGCGCAAAGCTGCCCGTATTCTTCATATACTGCACCGCATAGCGCTTGACCTCCACATCCTTTGTATTTTGCTTCAGAATGTTGATCAGCTGGTGATTGGACGGGTTGGAGCGAATGCTATGAATAATCGGGAATGAGAATTTGCCCTCGGTGAGATCCTCACAGAACCCTTTATTCTCCGTGTACACCGTATTCGAGAGGTTGAGGTAATCGTCGCAGATCTGGAAAATCAGACCCATGACATTAACCAAGGCAACGCAGTCCTTGCCCGTTGTGCTCTCCGCCTGCATGAGTTTCACTGCCAGACGGAAGAGCCCGCCTGTTTTGTTCCCGACCATTTCTAGGTACTCGTCCTCCGTCGGGCAAGTCAGGGTGTCTCGCCAGAAGAGGTCCATGCCCTGACCTCGGTGCAGATTCAGCATCTCCTGCACGTAGATGTCGATCGCGGTTGGGTTGTTTAGCTGCTGTACTTCTTGCAATGCGAGGAAGTACACGTAATTTGCGGAGTTGATTGTTTGCGCTGTTCCGAAGATGTTGTGTGCGACGGGAATGCCGCGGCGGAGGACGGAGTTGTCTTCAACGTCATCGATTCTAGCGTCCGCGCGATCAGCATCGGGTTATAGATTCGGTGAGAGGATGGAGGTGGTATAGAGGTTTCAAACTCACAACAGCGATGATGTATGCAGCATCGTTACGACTTTGGTGATGATCGCCAGGCTTGCCGGCGGGACCTGCAGCCAGGCGTTGAAGGCGTGGATCAGTTGTCGCCGTATGTCTTTCCCTGGATGTTCGTGCACATAGTCGTATGGGCCCATGAGGATCTTATCATTCTTCGATGACCATGTACCGTCCTTGTACTTGGTGCCGTCCACGCTGGACTTGTTGCGACGATGTCCGGTTTTTGTCGGTTCTTCGTCCATTATCGACAGCTTGTGTCGGTGGGAGGGGCTCCCGTTGCCATTTGTTGCATTTGCTGAGCTTGTCCGGGGAGGAACTGGGCTTGGTGGTTGGAAGGGTGTTGAGCTCATGATTGTGGATGGGGAGATGGAGGGGTTGAAGGCGGCAGAAATACGTGGGGGAGCTAGGGAGCTCCGGGGCTACATAAGCTAAGTGCCGGAGCTATGGTATAGATGACATCAACAGCTTACAACATCCATGGATATGTTCGTATATGTACACACTAAAATATTTAATATCACAAAACGGTTATGCAAGATGTACATACACGTGGACAGGTATGCTCAGGTGCCCAGATGGGTGCCGAGGTACATGACTAAGCGGGAGGCCACCCGTGGCCTACTGCCCACCTGGGTACGTCTGGCCCTCAGCCCTCAGCCCTGGAGGGATAGTATAGGGTTGACAAATGAGATATGTCGATTTTTTAATGTTATTGATAAAAGGAATATGATTTGATAGATCATAATCCCTGTAGGGACAAATGAATTGAGAATTCAAGGGATATAATATATAATGTTCACTATAGCAACGGAGTACGGAGTAAGCAAGGTCAACATATGTGTGTATTTCCATAGGGTATCAAGTTCCTACGCTACTATAATTAACATTAAAGTCGAATCTGACGCCAGGGTCTAAAAAAGAGCTAAGAGTTCCGATGTGATGAGTTCCTTGGTTATTGACCAGTTGCCTGGGGCAACGGGTCTTTATTTACCGCCGAACCTTGGAAGGGCCCAACTGACCTCATCCACCCACACGGACCTTCTCCACTCACTCTTTGACCTTTCGTTTAAGAATGTTCATTTGCTTTTCTTTTTTTGATAGCGGTTGAATTCCATCTCGCATCTGATTTATCAATGGAGGCTCTATTAGCCCATTCGTTCGACTACCTCTCCTCATACGAACCTAGCAAGATCCGTAAAGGATTACGCCAGGTCGAGGGACTACTGGCACAGATATGTCTATCCAAACCTAAGCCCGTCTCGGACCGGAGATCACGATCCCCCGATACTCAACCCGTGCCAAAGACATTGTCAGACTTACGGGATGATCCGGCATTTCGAGAATTCTCCAAATTGCAGGAAAGCTTTCAATGGAACAGTACGTCTTGGGAAATTTCTATCCCGGAGGCTGGCTAACCATATACTTCAGTTGCTATGCGCCTAGTTTCCTGCCTCGAACACCTTTTAGGACGAGGAAGCAACGGCACAAATGACATGTTAATCGTCTGCACACTGGATCTAATCCAAGGCGCCCTCCTCCTCCATCGCAGCTCGCGCACCCTCTTCGCCCGCGAGATTTACATGAACCTCCTCCTCGACCTCCTCGACCCGATCAACTGTCCAGCCGTGCAATCAGCAACCCTCCTCACACTCGTCACAGCCCTCTTGGACTGCCCATCAAACACACGCACATTTGAGGACCTAGATGGCCTCCTCACCGTAACATCACTCTTCAAGCAGCGCGCCACCTCCCGCGAAGTTAAGCTCAAGCTCGTCGAGTTCCTTTACTTCTATCTGATGCCCGAGACCCTCACCCCGGCACCAATGTCTTCCCCGCCAGGTCTGCAGCGCAGCCCGAGCAAACTCTCCTCTGCCCCCTTCTCGCGCAGTGCGCACTCCGCCGCGGCAAATGCTGCGAGTAAAACAAACCGCGATACACGTACGACGGACGAGAAGCAGGCTCTTCTGGGGAGGTATCTCAATAATGTGGAGGACCTCGTAGAGGACCTGAAGGAGACAGCTCCGTTTGGAGCGACGGTTTACTGAATGACTTGGCTGGCGATGATTGATTCACTCACTGCTTGATGACCAAATATGCGCGATGTCCGCTGCGATTACTCAGTGTTTTTTTTTTCCCTCTTCTCTCTCTACCCTTTTCTATCTTCTCTTCTCCTTCCCTCTTTTCCTCTTCTTCACGAGCGTTTGACTTATGTTCCGTCCGGTACGGCAATTATGCGATTTCTGGACTGATGTCTCGCCCTCTTTTGGCCTGTCTTTTGTGCTTTCTTTATTTTTTACTCCAATTCTGGAACTTTGTCGACCTCTCTACCTATTGTGCTCTCCCCCCGGGCTTTTCCTTATCGCTTTCCTTGTCTCTCTAATGGTGACATGAATGTGTACGATTCTTCTTTGTGACTAGACCAAACCGTCATATACTTCTGATGATCAATATTGCTTCCTAACCGTAATTCTTAATGTAGGCCTAGGCTTCGTAGACTCGGTGTTAGGGCTATGAAGCCTGTCGGTTATTCCCGCTATTTTTCATACCTCTCTATCTACATATATTTATATTGATATAAATGAGTCATTCATGTATGACTCAATGTAGCACGGACTCTATTGTATACTCCATGTTCGATGTTCAGAGTGGAGACAACGTCAAGTATTAGCGTGGAACGAGATCTATATATCCCCACCAACACCCCCAAAATATACAATCACCTTGACATCCAAAATGGCGACAATCCAACAGTTGCTAGCCACAAAGTCTTCTGTAAATTCACAGAAAACGCAGTATATGGACACGGTAGAAGCATACGATAAATGGGCCGAGGTAGGTGCATATCCCATCATCATTGTCCATTCATCTACATCCTCTTTATTATCTATACGCCATATATACCCCATAAACCCAGTACTAACACAAAATAGGTCTACGACACAGATGGAAACTTCCTCCAACGTCTCGACACAATCGAGATGCACTCCTTACTACCCCAATTCATCGACCGAGTAAGCAGACGCTTTCAACCAGAGACCGAGGCCACTGAGACCAAGACCCGCCCCGCCCTAGTAGATCTAGGCTGCGGAACCGGCCGCAACACAATCCAGCTCCTCTCTGCCCTATCCACAGCCAACAAAGCCAGTGACTTCACTGTAATCGGACTGGATGCCTCGCGGGGGATGTTAGACGTAGCGCGGACTGCGACACGCGAGTATGCGAAAAGCGCAACGGAGACGGACGTTGAGCTTGGTATCCTTGACCTCCTTCAACCTGTATCGAAGACGCAGCTTCCGTCTTCATTGTGTGGAGTGGGTGCTGTGGGTGTGATATCTACGTTGGTGCTGGAACATATTCCGCTTGAGCGGTTTTTGCGGCTGCGGCGGGGATTATGAGGTCTGGTGGGTATTTACTTGTGACGAATATGCATGCTGAGATGGGGATGCAGAGTCAGGCGGGGTTTACGGATGGTAGGGGAGTTAAGGTCCGGCCTACGAGTTATTGTCATGCTATTCCTGATGTTTTGGATGCCGCTAGGGTGGCTGGGTTTGAGGTGGAGGAGGTTATTGATGCTGGTGCAGATGGGGTGGTTGTTAGGGGGGTTGATGAGCTGTTGGGGGAGGTTTTGGGGGCGAGGGCGAAGAAGTGGGTTGGGGTTAGGGTTTGGTTTGGGGTTTGTTTTGTTAAGGGGTGAGATAGGTCAATCGGGAGATATATTATTTTTTTCCAAATAAATGAGTCCGAATCTAACGCCATGGTTTGCTGTTATACATTTAGAAGAATTTCAGTAATCTGTCGCGGTGTTGTACAAGGTTGGGATGCTCTCTGAGCAGTTGTCCCAACCGATTCCGTTTCCAGCCCAGGCTATCGTCCAGAATCAGTTGCGTGTAGGCGAAGACGCTAGCGTCAAAGAGGCCTGGGTTTGGTCGGCCGAAGAAGTGCTCGTCCTCGCCGAGCAAGGTGGACAGCGCCTCGAATGCGCCACCCGCATCGCCTTCCAGATCAGCGGCGTCGATGTAGCGCGATGTCTTGAGGAGCTCATCGCGGGCGGCCTGTTGGAGCTGGTGGCTTAGAGCGGCGCGCACGATGGAGTTCGAGGTTGTGGGATTCACATAGAGTCGGCGTGCGACGGCGTCGAAGTTCTCACTGTCTAGGTAAAGCATGTACAACTGGACACGGGGACACGTCGGTCAGCTCCTTCCAGTCTAGGGGTTGTTTCTGATGGAATCATTGGCTTACCCAAGCGCTGCGTATCCGGTTGTCCAAAAGTGAAGCATAAACCTCGAACCGCAGGTTCAATTGTTGCTCTTCCTCGCAGTGAACTTGTTCGATGGCCCACTTTTGGAGCTTGTGTGAAGGGATCGGATTCGAGGTGTCTGCCGGCAGCGAGGGGCGGAGGAAAGGCAGCGAGCCAGTCGGCGATGCATGGTTGTTGGACGATGTGATCTCAAAGTCAATCCCAACGAATTTCAAGTATGCCTAGAGCGAGGCCGATCAGTATGGTTCCGACAGGGACGGCTGCACGCGTCCTTGCATGCGAGTATGCGAGTATAGATGACACAAACCTGCCATTTGAGACATTGAGGATTGAATGAGGGTCGGCCATGTCGTGCGCCAGATGCGTCGGCAAACACATACAGCTGGTTGACATTGTCGTGCGGTTGAAGGCGTTGAGGGATCTCGTTGGCGGGATAGGTAGTCAACGGGAACTTGTCGAAGAGGCGCTTCAAAGGAGCGGGGATTGTAAAGAAAGGACTGGCATTGGACTCTGCTGGAGGACTGTCGGGTGCTTTGGGTGGCATTGTGGTGGTTTAAAGTCCAGTGTCGCCAAAGTCCCAAAAATGCCCAAAAGTGCCGTCATCGAAACAATTCGCGCCAAGCCCGAAAAGGAAGGTATTGCATTACCTAATATGTCCCAGGTACCGTACCTCCCCGCACCTAATTTTCCCGTTTTCCCCTTAGAAATAGCCTGAACTTGCGATCTATGGCTTCGGATCATATGTATTCGGTATCTTAGTGCTTATTTCATATCCTATAGTATTGGTGTTGCGATCACATCAGCCCGATCTCTCCCGCTTCTTGAAGAAACCAAAACCTCCACTTCGCTCCGTCTTGACTCCACCTTTCACTCCGATCTGCCCTCTCTCGAACGACCTTTTGACAATACGCGCATACATATGGCTTAATTTGTCGTCCAAATACGAGGCGTCTCACGGACCTAGCGGAAACGGGCGATTGCATGCGCGGGGTATCGACTAACCGTTGGGGTTCTGCGACACACGGTTGCGACATTACGAATCAATCTGGCGTCTCACCTTAACTTCGACGGAATCATACATATCTCTTCGCCAATATGCCTCTCGATGAAGAGGGTGCCAAGTGGTCCTGGTAAGGATATATCGTATGTTGTCAATGAAACCGGGCTAAAGAGTTACACCAGTGAACCATGCATTCGAGGTCATCGATCGTCAAAATGCCAACATTTCGATAGACTTATGATGAAGGTCCCTAAAGCCGGCCGTCCTCTTGCAAAATGTCCCCACCCGAAAGGAACTTGTAGCTGCCAGAAGACATATGCCGTGATGGTCCGCATTCCAAAAGGTAGAGATATCTTTGGTACCAAACTACCACACATGTGTCTTGTGTTGTACTAACTTGCTTCAGGTTCATCATGCTTATGTCGACCGCTCTATAAAGTTCCCATGGATGCCAATGACTCAACTCAGTCTCCCCCATCCTCCATGGTTTCAACGTCGTCACCAGCTCCGGGCAAGGTTCAAAAGTCCGGAAGAAGACAGAGTACTATGCAAGCAGCACCTGAAAACATAGCGCGGGCATTAGAAAATATGTCAGACAAGGTTAAGCTCGAGGATGGAACGCCGAACTTGATTTCGGACTTCTCTTCACAGCCCACGTCAAATGGTTCACATGCATCTCCCACTGCGTCTACACAAAACAAAAAGACGCCATCGCCCACAGAAACTACCAGACAAGGCTCGCAGTCCCCTCAAGTATCAAGCTGTTGTTCTCAAAAGCAAAAGCCAAAGCCACCTACCCCGGCCCCCGCTCCTACGGCGGCTGTTGCTCCGGCTCAGAATGGTGGATCTTGTTGCGGAGTGTCTCGCTCTTCCACGACGAATCAAGCTGTGTACACTGAGGCCGACCAGCAGCAGTTCCAACAACCTATTGCGTGGGATCATCAGAGTTACATGCAATTCCCCATGCCCCAAATGTCCCCATGGCAGAATTCCTCGATTCCCACGCATGGAGACTACATGCATTCCGCCATGCACCAACCACATCCCCAACACCCAAGCCTCCATAATGGGTACATGGGAATGATGCTACCACACTCTCAGCCCCAAATACCGCCAATAGGGATGTCATACGGTGTCACCTCGCCGCCGTCCATGGCGTACTCAAACCCTATGAGCGGTCTTGGAATCACGCAGCCCTCTATGGGTCCATACATGCTCAATAACCTCGAGCCTTCCTACAATGCCCCACCAGGCGGTGATCCTTGTCACGACTGTAGTTGCGGAGAAGACTGCCAGTGCCTTGGCTGCGCTGCTCATCCATTCAACACCACAACACGGAAGCATGTCCAAGAGATGGGTGCCATAATCACCTCCAACGGCGATGACAAGAACCCGGAAGTCATTAACCCTTACCAAGCCTCACCTTACCAGGGAGGAACCCCTTCGACCCCATTCCCTTACTTCATGCAAAGCACTCCTTCCATGGACCATGGCTTCCAGCCGATTCCGTTTGATAGGTACTCAGACCCAAATTCCACACTGGCCAGCGGTTACTCCTCCCCTCTGTCGGCAAATCACCAGCTGAATCAGCCGTTGATGCATCCTTCGGAATATTACACCCTGGAATACCCAGTCGGGCTACCAAGCGCCTGTTCTGATATGACGGGTAGCTGCCAATGCGGCAGCGACTGCAGCTGTGTCGGCTGTCTTACACACAGCGGCCACAACGGTCTTTCTCTGGACGTGCCTATTCCCGAGCACCCCATTTCCCACACAGCGGACAAGCAAACGCAACCTTCGCGCCATGTTCCCCACACAAGTTCCGCTACGTCTCAGTCTTCGCGGATCCCGGTACTAGACAATGTGTCTGTGCCCTGCCTCAGTCCACGCACCCTGGAGACTTCCATGATCTAGACGATCTATGGCTTGATGATTTCTTCCCACCTTCTTTCTCCCCTCATTTTTTCCCCGGCGCTTTTTTTTGATCTTGCATGATTTATGATCTCCCATGATACCCTATCTAGAATCTCTGCTCTAGACGGCCACAGCAATAGATTACCTGTTTGAATGTAATTGATTGGGTCAAATTGTTCCCACTGCTCAAGTTGTTTGTTTCTTATTGCCGCCAGGGCTTTTGTGGCGGCTTCTGCATCAGTGCTTTACTCGTAATCCATAGGAACAAGACAGGCCAAGTATTGGTGTAAAAGCCAGCGATACCTGCGTGTCAGGTCACTATTGCCTACCCTTAAAACGCTAACAAACTGGGACCTTAATTTCCTTGTATTTCCAATTATCTTTACTTTGAAATTAATATGATCATCAATGCATTGGGGGATATCATAATTCTTGAACAAAAGATAGTATACAAAGGACAGTTACCCACAAAACCCCAATCAACCCTTATTCCACTTTCCGAACTTCACATAGTCATCATAGAGCGACTTGAAAACCGCACGACCAGAGACATCCAGCGCAGCGTTAAGCGCACGCATAGACTCACGCGACGTGACATCCAAAGCCGCATACAGACCAGGCAAGATAGCAGCTTTGACCTCGGGGGACAGCGACCCACGTAGCGAGCACTGCGCATACTCCATAACAACGTACTGCAAGTACTGGCCAGCAATGCGCTTCGCCTTCTTTGTCTGATCAGTCAGGGCCTCACGGGAAGCACCAGGCTGGGGACGAAGGACCGCCGAGACGGTAGGGTCGCACAGCGAGGTGAGTAGACGGGTGTAGTAAGTAGCGTGCGAGGCATCGAGCGGGGCGAGCCAGAAGGGCTGTGAGAGGGTGGGGTGGAAGCGGGAGCGGCCGCGTTTTCGGGACCGAGCGAAGAGACAGCCTAGTAGACGTTGCATGGCGTTTACCACTAGATGGAAGCGGCCGCCGATCTTGAGGCGTTGGAGGCTGAGGACCACACCCATCAGTCGGCACAGACGGGTGTAGATGGTTGGCGCGTAGGATGGGGAGATTTGGGGGCCGATTTTGGAGGAGGCGCTTGCGATTGCGCTGAGGATGCTGTCGATGTTGCATTGGCTGAGGCTGCGGGTTTGGCTGCGGAGGAGGAGGTCCAGGCATTCGGAGGCGAAGCAGAATTGGTCGATGCTTGTGCTTTGGGCGATGGCTTCGGAGAGGGA